TCCCAAAATACCCCTATTTAAGGCCAGTCATCAATAGAAATTTTCTATGGTGGATTGAGAAGGAATAATCTGACCACGGTGGGTAACCTTACAGTTTTGTGAATGTGGCCGTTCACAGTGATTAACTGAGCTACAACAGAGCATGTGTGCAGCACGGAGCTTGGGCTCTCTTTGGGAGGGGGCGAGGGCATGCAGCAGGAAAAACCTAAGAGCCTTGGACACCAGACGTAAAACTCCTTTTTAAAGTTAATTACTAACGGCATGAGTTACTGTTATGAACCAGTTGATGCAGTCACATAGTTACTGAGGATCTCTTTGCACCAAAACCTTTGACTTAGTAAAAGAAAAGAACAAAAAAAAAATACAGGATGGGCCAAAAGCAACTTTACTATTTCAAAATAAAATATTTTTTTAGCTGTTATATAATGTATTTTCATTTTTTTACATCCTTAAAAAGTAACCTTGGGAGATACATAATGGAAAGATTCCCAACGTAATAATGTGTGAAAATTATTGAATTTTACTTTGAACATCAGCACTCCATTGTTTTAATTCAAAGAGCTTATATGCGTCATTTTCACGAAACAATTCCTCTATCAAAACCAGCGATACTGGCCTTGGTTCAACATTTTCAAGAGCAAGGATTACTTTTTAAGGATCTAGAACAAAAATAACCAAACAAAACTGAAAAAAAAAACTTTTGGCCCACCCTGTTCAATAAAATTATAGCAATGTGAAAAACGAGTGGTGTCACTCCACATTCTGTCCAGCAGGTGGAGTAGAAGTATCCTTTAAGTATCTCTGTTTAGTGCTTACTGTACTGTAAGTTTTAAACCTGTAAAGTTATAAATAGCCCCTCTATTGATTTGTTTTAATTCTGTACTATAAAAAAACCAACAAAAAAAAAACAAACATTCTCCATGAAAGAGACACTATATTTACCAGAACTACTACAGCTTAATGTAGTTGTTCTGGTGAGTATAGTCAGTCCATGCAGGCTTTTTGTTGTAAACACTGCCTTTTAACTGAAAAGACAATGCTTACATTACTGCCTACGGGTACCTCTAGTGGCCACTCCTCCAACGGCCACTAGAGGTGCTTCCTGGGTCAGTGCTGCACAGTGTGCATGGAGACACTGAATGCTCTTCATGGAGATGCATTGATTCAATGCATCTCTATGAGGACATGTTAATTGGCACAGCTTGGGATTTTGCCACCTGTGTACATTAGTGTACTTAATTAGTATCCCCTATGGGAAAGCATTGGATTGGCTGAGATCATCAATTTTGATGATTTCAGCGAAGGATCCCCGTGCCACTGGAATAAAAATGAGATTTAATTTTTTTTAAGGAGGGTAAGAGGGGCCGGCCACCTAACATGGGCTTTCAACACTATAGTGTCAGGAAAACACGTTTGTATTCCTCCCTATTGTGTTCCTTTAAGGGCAAAACCATAGCAATGTACATATATTCAGGAAAACAAAATTCTGTATGTATGGATAAATATTTCTTATTTCTTGAGAATCCATGGAAGCATCAATACCCAAAACTACAAAATTATGCCAAAGTCTTGAGGTTTCCTGAGTTAGAAAATCCAATGTGTAATGTCCACCAAATGACTTGGTAAAGAAAGCTGGATCATGCTTGTCTGTGACCAAAGCCTTAAGTTCTACTTTTGGACCACCCTATTAATGTGAGAAATATGTGAGTAGTCCGGGGAATGGACACAACACCCAAATCAGCCATCGGACCACAGGGGTGCAAGGGATTCACTTTAAAAAAACGGATCAAAAAATATTGCCGTGATATAATACTTTACTGAAGTTAAAATGTGTCTTCACATCCTACAAAGCATTGAACATTTTGGTGTGAAGGGGTCAAATCCCTGTGGCTGCAATATGGCGTGAGCAGGGTTAAATCCCTAATCACACTAGGAAGACCCAGTTATCAGTTGATAGCTGAGGCTACCCTGTGTCATCTTGAGACACATTTAGTGGCACCAGACTGACCAATGAGCTGTATGCACCACTCAAAGTGAGGAAGTAAATGCAGTGAGATACGTAATATGGTGGGGAACAGGGAGGTTATATGGTGGGTCTTCACATATATTTGTTGGCCAAATCCGCACCAGTGGTAAAGGTTGACTTGTAAACAAAACAAAGCGTTTAAAAGCATCTATGTCTTATGCTTCCTGACCAGTCTGACTGCTGCTATCTAAGTCCCGTATTAGAAAACTATGTTGATATGATGAATATGTTAATATGTTGAATGACTTCCACCCGTAAACATCCATAAAATGAAATCAACACCTCCTGGCTCTTCTTCTTAGGAGAGTGGAATTTCATGTGAAGGGGGTTCACTCTCTTCAACATGTGAATACCTCCATTTAAGGTGTTTCATATAATATTAAAGAAATAAAAAAATAATAGGAAACTATTGGTAAATAGGAAGGCTGAGCCTGTAGTTGTGGGAAGGGTTACTCGTCCTATAAATACCCAGGCCTCCCCTTCCTATGGGTTGATACTTTCTGGTTCAGCCTGTGGAGTATGGACTGCTAGGATCAGGAAACAGACTTCAGCCTGTAAAGTCTATCAAACCTGGAGAGAGCCATAGTGACCGATATTGAACGGTAAGAAAAATGGCACAGCCCACCCACTGCTCTTTATCAAGCCATTTAATTTTGGTGGGCCATCTTTTTACAGGCCTACCAGGATGTCAGTTTTGGAACACCCCAACCAACTTACACCACCACTACGGTAACTCGGCTTATTGTCACTGACCACAAAAAATTTATGATGATTTTTTTTTTTTTCAGTAGACAGTGTTCCATAAACAGTGTTCAAGAGACTTAGGAGTGGATACACCTCAGCAAACAAACAATTAAATGGACAATTGTCACGAGGATTACAAAAGATTCCATCTCTTAGTGTTAAATACCAATTTCCTAGTTATGTGGGAGTGCCACCATCGCCGAGAAAGAGAAGAGAAGGAAAGAGAGAGAGCTGCAAGGAAGAGGACTCAGAGATATATGCAGAGAGGCAGTAGGGGGGAGGAAGAAGGGGGGAGATAGAGAAAGAAAAAAAAATTGGTGATGGTGAATGTGAAGTAGGTGAAGTGTCATATTTTAGTTGGTGTACAAGGTAGCTAAGTACTTATCCGTGGTCAAGTTAGCCACGATTTATGTTGAATTTGGGGGGGAGGGGGGGAGGGGAGAGTAAATGTTTTAACATTAGCAGATGAGCTTACACTTTATGTCCATACAGTGATAATATATACTCTATCGCAGGGGTAGGCAACCTGTGGCACTCCAGATGTTTTGTACTTCATCTCCCATGATGCTTTGCCAGTATTATGGCTGTAAAAGCATTATAGGAGATGTAGCCCACAACATCTGGAGTGCCGAAGGTTGCCTATCCCTGCTCTATCGCATTGTTCACCCCAGTAAATGCTCCAGTAATGTTTAATGGATTGACAGAACTAGGAACTGTTACTTCCAAAAGTGAAGTTGTTATGGTAACTGGAGGTCCTTGGTGCCATCTTACCTTAAGGAGTTCAACAATTTATGAAAGGCTTAACCCCAAGGCTGTCAAACTTCATTAAGATTATGTTGTTATGGTGCTCGGATTGATCCTTTAAGTAAAACATGTTATTACCCCTTTCCAGGTATGTGAACCCTCAATAACCATATACTTGTTCTGAGGTAGATACAAATACAAAGAAACTAGTCCTGCGCTCAAACTCCCATTACTCCTGGGCAGCAGCAATGACCATAGTACACATCATAGCACACAAACCAAAGAAAAAAGACCTCTTAGGTGGGTCCTAATGCTAACCATTCTGCCGCCCATCCCATGTGTTCCCTATTAAGGGTTAACAAGTATATAGGGGTGTATATAAAAAATACCCCTTTCTGTCTCATTAGAGATATTTTTGCCAGAAGCTCAAGGAAGCAAGGCGAATGGTTAGTGTTAGGACCCACCTAAGAGGTCTGCCTTGACGTGGTAGGTGGGCATACCCTCTCATGGCCATTGGAGGTAACTAAAAACCTCTGTTTGTCTAATACATAGGGATGTGAAAAGAGCGCAGGTAACTTTTTTTTCTTTGATCTGAGGTAGGCAGTTTTTGGCACTCCAAATGTTTTGAACTACATTTCCCATAATGCTCTTGCAGCTATAATGCTGGCAAAGCATCTGGGGTGCCAAAGGTTGCTTACCCCTGTACAATTATTTGTTTTTAGTAATTGTGAAATCCGTGTTAATGGCCCCCCTCAATTCCATGATGAACTTAAGAATAATGATGATAATACTGGGCTACGGGGTCTTCAAGCCCAATTCCATTGAGTCAAACGATGCCCAGTTCTCTGGTATGAATACGCAAAGGGCTGATTAAGTAAAATATATCAAATCAAATATAAAACTAGAGGAGAGAACTAACGTACTATCTCTCCCAACAGCCATTCCACAAAACAATATTAAATGTTGTACTTACTCCCCTCTCACTAAAAAGTATTAGGGACTGTGGGTGCAATAATCTAAAAAGTAAAACCAGTTAAAAAAAATTAATTACCTGCAAGTGTTTCCGAGTAAAGATTTTTTCTTCTATATTATGATATTAAAATATTATATATCACATAATACATACATTTCATATTTCTCATTTCAAGAAAGGTGAAGACTTTTCCTTATGTCAGCTTTCGAAAGTCTCAGCTAAAAAGCTTTGCTCCTACGTATTACTAAACTAAGGAAATGAATAGACAGTCAACCACTAAATATTAACTTATACATTTCTGTTTGCCGGTAATTAATGCTCTGCATGTTAAAGTATCCAGATTAATTCTAAAGCATAAAATAAAAAGATTTGAAAACTGTGCCATTTGTATACAGTACGTGTACACGCATGCACGAACACACACACATTTCCACCGGGTCTTCAAGAAATTGTCTGTTGAGAGCAACTGCTACAAAATAAAACTCATTGTATCAATTTCAAATAAAACCTCACGTTTTATTATTTATTTCATTTTTTAAATTTTTTTATTTTTTGTTAAACAAACTTTTGTAAATGAGAAATGCTTATGGACTGGAAAAGTATTGGGGGTAAGACTGACACGGGGCAAAGTCAACATATTTCAGGTAATTGTTCCAGGGCGGTATCATCTCCACATTGAACATTATCTGACTGTCTCTGGGAGAGATTCATCATTGCAAGATCCCCCTCACGACTTCCACGTCAGAGGGGATTTCTCCTGTCTCACAGATCATCCTCAGTCCTCTACATGTGGAGGATTTAACAGATCCAGAGTTGCTCCAAGCTCTTGGTTCTAGGGGGAATGAAGTCTCCCTTTACTTCTAAATGTGATCAAAAGGTTCTCAAACCTCAACTGCTGTACACCTGGGTTCCAATGACACGCATGATCTCCTTTTGTATTTTGGGGTCCTGAGTGTTAATGTTGGCATCTCCTACCTGCCCATCTTCATACCTATAGCATAGGGGCAAAACGAATAAAGAGAAGAATAATTTGTGAATACACAATAACGGAAGCTCCAGTGAGTGTTTACTGAATAAGAGAGGGGAAAAAATGAGTAAATACAGAATAATGGAAGGGACACTGAGTGAATGTGAGCATGCAGAATAATGTAATAATTCACTCAGTTTCAGGTTGAGTGATTTTTTTGGTCACAAAATAAATCTGACAGTTGCCAAGTGAAATCGCTCTGACATTCAAAGAACAGAATACTGTTATTACCCTTATCTAATGTCCAGGGCCCAAGCAACTACTTGCACACGTAATGTGCATTGTGTACCCTTCACTTGCTACTTAGAAAAGATGAAGATCATTCTCACTTCTAAGTGGAGTAGTGACACAAGTTCAATTCATCAGGTGGCCACTGAGTGCCTTACTAAGGTTACTTACACAAAGAAGAATCGAGTACAGACATGGTCAGATACTGGACACACCCAAATGTTCCCATGTTTCTGGAGATCCTTTGATGTAATTACTGGAAAAACAGAAAGCCATTTTAATGAGAATTTCCATAACCAGATTTGCAAAAAGCTATGTTACCAAAGATATAGATACACATGTGAAAATACGTGTATATTAACAATGAGCCACAATGTAATTTTACAGATTGTTAGTGTGAAAGACCACCCGGTCACCCCGGACTGGGTACGAAGCTACCAAACCACCACCTCAATCTAAAAAGAAGTATAATCACCACATTTTACCCCTCCAACTCGGCCCGCCAAGCCCAGAGCCTATTCCAGTGGCCCAGGTGTCTTCACAGACTGGCATGAGACACATAGAAGCACCGAGAGCAACCTGCAAACCCTCTTTAACCTAATCGGCGTGTGGAGTTGCCTGTAAAACTTTGTCGAGGGTGCTCTCTGTCCCAGAGTCAAAAAACAGGGTGCTATTTGAAGGGCATTAAACAGTGCCAAAGACTTGAGGGAACTCCATGTACTGACTGAAAGCGGCATCATTTTAGGTGACCAGGATTTCTCACGTAAAACTGTGGATTGGAGGACTGTTGCAGCCCAGTGAAAACTTCCCTTCCAGCTACATCGGGCTAGCCACCTCTGATCCCATTGCTTTTTGGGCAGAATGGGAGCTCAGAAGAAAGTTTGGACAGCAGACAGCATTGGTTTGGGGATGTGTGCACGGGAACCCTGTTTTTGTTGTAATAATGTCATTCGGTAATGACGTGTCTGGCCGCTAATTAAATTATATGCTCAGGTACAGACACCGTGGCGCCTAGTATGTTGCAATGTCATTGTTCTTCTGGGGACCTCCTGTTGAGGACCTGTAGCGGTACTTACCTTACCCGGGGGCCGGCCGAGGTCCTCTCTTCCCACCACGCATGGCTCTCGGATGAAGGCAGGCACGGACCGCGAGATGCGGTCACATGTCCCGCCAGGCTCTAAGAGCGTGACGCGTGTCTCGGGCACGCTCTTAAAGGGGCTGTGGGAGCCAAAAAATACAACGGTCTCCCATTGGCCCCTGTCATCCCACATTCCCCATACACTCACATTTTGGGGGCGTGGATATGACAGGGGCTAATCAAAGTAAAGGTTAGGGTATTTATACTTACCTCTCCCTTAACTCCCTGCCCTATCGTGGTTTCTGTTTCAGTTCCCTTTAGCGCTTGTTGTGTTCAGTTGTGATTTTCATGCTTGACCTTGGCTTTGTATCTGACTTAGTTTATCTCTCTATCCCTGTTTTGTCTTGTTTGCCGGCTTACTGATTACTGTGTACCAGACCTTGGCTCGTTTTTGTTCTCGCAGTCTCTTTGTTCCCTTGACCTCGGCTTGTTCTTGACTCTGTCTATTCTCTGCTATACGGCGAGTCCGGCCATTCTAAGGTCCGGTAAGACGTATCTGCTCTATCTGTCAATTGTTGGACTAAATCTTGCGTGTTGGGGTAAACTACCGTGACATTACGATAGGGCCATGGACCCCGCAGATTTAAGTCAGCAATTGGCTTCTCATGAGGCTAGATTTACAGAGCAGGATCACCGTATGGATCAGATAGCTCAGGCCCTCCAGACACTCTTATCTAGAACTACTCCGGTAACAGTACCAACTCCTACTGCACCCCTTGTTCCAGATGTATCCACCATACCTAATGCTTCTGCACATTTAACCCCTCCACCTAGGTATGGAGGGGATGCTAAGACATGCAGGGGATTTATTAATCAAGTGGAATTCTACTTTGAGATGTATCCACATTCCTTTCCCACTGATAGATCTAAAGTTGGATTCCTTATGCACCAACTTACTGATAAAGCACTTGAGTGGGCAAATCCTATTTGGGAGGCTAATGGGCCTATGGTGCATGATTTTAATAGCTTCCTTACAGGTTTTTGTAGAACCTTTGAAACAACTAAAAGGTCAAAGAATGCCACCAGGGCATTAATGAGAATTAAACAGGGTTCTAGGTCTGTTGCTGATTATGCTATTCAGTTTCGTACCCTTGCTTCGCAGGTAGATTGGACCAACAATGGGCTAACTACAGCATTTATGGAAGGTCTATCTGATACTATATTGGATGAGGTTGCAGCTAGGGATCTTCCTATCGCATTAGAGGACCTTATCGACTATCTTATTGATATAGACAATGGGATTCGTGATAGACTCTATACTAAGAATAGGAATAGACGTTTTGCTACATTAAATACTCCTAGAGTTGCTAATCCTGAGAGTTCCAAGGTATCAGAGGAGGAACCCAATGCAATTAGGGGTTGCCAAACTCTCTGATGCTGAAAAATTGTATAGAAGAAAGGAGGGACGTTGCCTCTACTGTGGTAGGAAGGGCCATATGCTAAAAGAATGTCCCGTGCTTCCAGAAAACTATCGCACCTAAGGCCATATAAGGGACTGGCCTTGGGTGTGATATCTAAGTCCCCACAATTGCCTCTTAATCGACTACTTCTCCCTGTTTCTCTGCATCTGGAGAATAATTACATAGCAAGAAACATACTAGCCCTGGTTGATTCCAGGGCAGCTGAGAATTTCATAGATTCTAGATTTGTTAAGGAACACAACATACCCATTAGAGAGAAGAAGAAACCCTTGGCCGTTGAGGCCATAGATGGTAGACCATTATGCTCCCCAGTTATCACACATGAAACTGAACCGTTGCATATGTATACAGGGATGTTACACTCAGAAACCATTCGGTTTCAGGTCATCACCGCTCCTTCCTCTCACATTGTGTTAGGGTACCCATGGTTACGTTCTCATAATCCCATTTTTGACTGGGAGTCAGGACAAATAGTATCTTGGAGTGAAACCTGCCAAGAGTCTTGTATCGTTAAAATCACCCCTTTAAATTCTACTAATGTTCCTACTACTCCTCCTTTGTCTACTGTTATACCTCCTCAGTACATGTGTCTTAAGTCTGTCTTCGATAAAAGGGAGGCTGACAAATTACCGCCTCATAGACCCTACGATTGTGCTATTGATGTACTACCTGGAACTATACCTCCCAAAGGCAGGGTATATCCTTTGTCTCCTCAAGAAAACCGTGTCATGGAGGAATATATTAAAGAATCTCTACAAAAGGGATTTATAAGGAGATCCTCTTCTCCGGCAGGGGCAGGGTTCTTCTTTGTGTCGAAGAAGGAGGGCGATTTATGACCTTGTATTGATTATAGGGGTCTAAATAAAATCACCATAAAAAATGCTTACCCTATACCATTAATCACGGAATTATTCGACAGGCTCAAACAAGCTACTGTGTTTACTAAACTGGACCTTAGAGGTGCGTACAATCTCATACGTATAAAAAAGGGCCATGAATGGAAAACTGCATTCAATACTAGGAGTGGTCATTACGAGTATAATGTGATGCCATTTGGTGTTTGTAATGCCCCAGCAGTGTTTCAAGAATTTATTAATGAAATCTTACGAGAGTTCATTCACTCATTTGTGATAGTGTACTTTGATGACATATTAATATATTCAACAGATTTACATACTCATCACATGCATGTTAAAACAGTTTTGAAAACCCTTCTTGTTAATGGTCTTTATTGTAAACTAGAAAAATGTTTATTTGATCAATCCGAAGTCCAGTTTTTGGGTTATTTAATTTCTGCTAAGGGTTTTCGTATGGATCCTCAGAAGCTTTCTGCTGTCATGGAATGGCCTCTACCTCAGGGCCTAAAAGCCATTCAGCATTTTCTTGGTTTTTCCAACTATTATAGACGCTTTAATAAAGGGTTTTCTTCTATTGTAGCGCCTATAACCCGTATGACAAAAAAGGATGGTAATACTCGTGACTGGTCCCCAGAGGCGCTTGAGGCTTTTGAATTTCTTAAGACTACGTTTGCCTCTGCTCCTATTTTACAGCATCCTGTCCCTTCTTTGCCTTATATTATTGAAGTTGATGCTTCTGATATTGGGGTGGGTGCTGTCTTATCTCAAAGAGAATCTTCTGATAAGCCATTACATCCTTGTGGCTTCTTTTCCAAGCAGATGTCCAAAGCCGAAAAGAATTATGACATAGGCAATCGAGAACTCCTTGCTATTGTTTTAGCACTTAAGGAGTGGAGACATCTTTTGGAGAGTACTAAGGACCCCATCCTCATTTTTACTGATCACAAAAACCTTTCCTACCTTAGTGAAACCAAAAGATTGTCTTCTAGGCAGGCCAGGTGGTCACTGTTTTTATCTCATTTCAATTATATCATCATCTACAGACCAGGTGAACGTAACACTAAAGCCGACGCTCTGTCCAGACAATTTGAAACTACCGACAAACAAGAATTTGACGATACCCCTGTCATTCCCCCGGACAGAATAATAGCTACTACGGTTCTATCTATTTCTTCTTCACTCTTACAAGTTATACAGGCTTTACAAAACATGGCACCCAGGGAGAAACCTGCTGATAAACTGTTTGTTGACGTTCCCGAAAGACGAGACATTATGTTGTTATATCATGACACCAAAACTGCTGGACATCCTGATATTTCTAAAACCTTAACAGCAGTTTCTAGATATTTTTGGTGGGCTTCCTTACGCAAGGATGTCACCGATTATGTTCGGGCATGTACTACTTGTGCCAGTATGAAGTCTTCTCATAGGGTTCCTTGTGGGTTGTTGCACCCGTTGCCCATACCCGAGAGGCCTTGGTCCAATCTGTCCATGGATTTTATTGTTGAATTGCCTCCTTCGAATGGCAAAACAGTCATCCTGATGATAGTGGATCGATTTTCTAAGATGGGTCATTTTGTGTCTCTTGTTAAATTGCCCTCATCCAAGGAACTTGCTTATATCTTCACCAGGGAGGTGTTTCGGTTGCATGGTATTCCTGTATCAATTGTATCCGATAGGGGTAGCCAATTTATTTACAGATTCTGGAAAGTTTTTTGTTCAGAGATGGGTATTTCTCTCTCGTTTTCCTCCGCTTACCACTCCCAGTCTAATGGAGCTGCTGAACGTGCCAACCAGTCCCTAGAGCAGTATCTTCATTGTTTCGTATCCCACCATCAGAACAATTGGGCTGACCTGCTTCCTTGGGCTGAGTTTGCTCGTAACAATGCTGCTCATGAATCTTCTGGTAAAAGCCTTTTCTACGTTGTTTATGGCCGGCATCCTGTTGTTCTTCCAGCTGCGTTCTCCTTACAGGGCATGCCAGCTCTGGATGAACATTTGGCTGGTTTACGTACTACTTGGGAGCAGGTTCAGCGTTCTTTGGTGGACTCCGCTGCTCGCCAAAAGGTTCAAGCTAACAAGCATCGCAGGGCGGCTCCATCCTATGTCGTGGGGGATAGGGTTTGGCTTTCCACTCGCAATATCCGCCTTCGTGTGCCTTCTATGAAGTTGGCTCCCCGTTTTATTGGTCCTTTTTGTATCTTGCATAAAGTTAATCCTGTTTCTTATGCCTTGGATCTTCCCAGTAACCTGCGTATTCCTAACGTCTTTCACACCTCCTTGTTGAAAGCACTCCTGTGTAACCATTATACCCGGCATGTTTCTCCTCCCCCTCCTGTTTCTGTGGAGGGTCATGAGGAATTCGAAGTAGCTGCTGTGCTTGACTCTCGTTTCCTCAGGAGTCGCCTCCAGTACCTGGTGCATTGGAAGGGTTATGGGCCTGAGGAACGCAGTTGGCTTTCCGCTGACGCTGTTCATGCTCCTCGCCTTGTGCGTTCCTTCCATTCTCGTTTTCCTGCCAGGCCTGGTCCTCCCCGCCCGGTGGGGGTACTGTAGCGGTACTCACCTTACCTGGGGGCCGGCCGAGGTCCTCTCTTCCCACAGCGCACGGCTCTCGGATGAAGGCGGGCACGGACCGCAAGATGCGGTCACATGTCCCGCCTAGCTCTAAGAGCATGCCGCGCGTCTCGGGCACGCTCTTATAGGGGCAGTGGGAGCCAAAAAATACAGGTTAGGTTATTTATACTTACCTCTCCCTTAACTCCCTGCCCTATCGTGGTTTCTGTTTCAGTTCCCTTTAGCGCTTGTTGTGTTCAGTTGTGATTTTCGTGCTTGACCTTGGTTTTGCATCTGTCTTCGTTTATCTCTCTATCCCTGTTTTGTCTTGTTTGCCGGCTTACTGATTACTGTGTACCAGACCTTGGCTCATTTTTGTTCTCGCAGTATCTTTGTTCCCTTGACCTCGGCTTGTTCTTGACTCTGTCTATTCTCTGCTATACGGCGAGTCCGGCCATTCTAAGGTCCGTTAAGACGTATCTGCTCTATCTGTCGATTGTTGGACTAAATCTTGCGTCTTGGGGTAAACTACCATGACAGGACCCAAGTAAAAAAGTGTTCCATTCATGCAATAAAACAATTCTTATTATTCCACCTTAAAAAGTCTTCACTAGTGTTTGGGTGGAACAGCGATATCCGCAATAATAAAAAAATAAAAAAAAGGACAATGGGCCACTCTTACTGTCCAGGATATTACAGACACAATGTCCAAATGTTAAATCACACATTAGTGATGAGATCCATTTTTACATTTACTCTATCGGCAGCGCGACAGAGGTAACTGGAGGGAGCTAGGATGGTTATACTACACAAACTAAAGTCGCCACATTTCTGCCAAGCACTAGTTCCATCTCGTCTTGATTTGGCGCTGTTTGGAAAGGGTTGTAGTATTATGTTTGATGAAATCTTAACAACCACTGTTGAATATTACCTTCACATAACGCAATGCAGTTCAGATTCCGGCTCTGCAGAAAACGAGACTGGAGGCAACGTGTCTAGAAGTGGATGAGATACAAGAAAGAGTGAGAGAGACAGGAAATGTAAAGATGGAGCAATGTTGGAGAGACAATTTCAACGGATGAGAACAACAGAAAACGAGATACAAGATTACTGTCATACCTCTGGCTGGCAAGCGGCACTTGCAGGCTCCAGTGGCAGCCTTGTTCGAGTTCCTGCAACGCTCAGGTCGGGCTGAGCATAGCATGCTTTGCCACCTCCGAATTGGAGTATGCTGTGTTCCTCAACTATTGTGAAGAATGTGTTCTCTATGTCCATAATCTTACAAGGTTGCCAGGTCACCATGGTAACCTCACGGTGGCTACAGTATTACTTAAAGTTACAGAATGCTGTAATTTATAGTTAATTTTCCTCTGGTCATATTAGTGGGACACATTATCATCCCTTTTCAAGAAGCACCCATTACTTGGGTGATTTGGCGCAGGGTGATGATGCTGCCCAATAGCTTTGGGGTTATCCCTATAATCCCTTCATATACTTCCCTCTTCCTTGAGATTATTGCACTGTCATGGTTCATGTGCCCCGAGAGTGCATTCTGTAAAATGTTTGTTCTGGTTACTGACCCAGTTTCATATTGATCTTTCAGCTTCTCTGTATCCTTAACCCCAGCTTGATTAATAATTTCATGACTACTTCTCCTTGACTTTGGCTTACATTTTGACACTCTATTTTTGTCTACCTTGGGCAAAGCCTGACCACTCGTGAAGTCCAGTATACATAATACACACTGTCTTTTACTTTATACTAGCTACTGTCTCCCTATTTTCTGTGTGTAGAGGTTACTCCATTCTGATATTTGTATAGCGGAGGAGAGGACAGGAGATCAGAAGAGTAGGAACAAATAAATGGACAAATGAATGGAGAAAGGAAGAATATCACTAAAGTCAGTAGAACAAACCCTTTTTTATTAAGGACGCTTATGATGGGAAACCTAACTTGTTTTACTTTGAGTCATCATGACTTGTGCACAAAGTATATTTTCTGCAACCTTATTGCCCCCATTTTTTTGCACTATTGCACTCATTCATTGGCCACTCTAAATGTGTATTTTGTAACACTTGTCTTGGATCAGCAATATGGCATGTTATGTTTGGAACATGTCTAGTATTTAGTGGGTTGCATTGAAGGCACAAAAATGGAGACACAAATGCTGAGGTTATTAAACTTACATATTTTGTTATTGTATAGTGTCAATTAATGAAAAGTATGGCAATATGCTTCCATTTTAGAACACACACTGTTTAGAAAGAAATTACAAATTGGAATTGTTCCTCTTTCTGAACTGAAAGATCTACAGTTTGCCACATCTCGTTACATTAGAAACATAGAAACATAGAATGTGACGGCAGATAAGAACCATTCGGCCCATCTAGTCTGCCCAATTTTCTAAATACTTTCATTAGTCCCTAGTCTTATCTTATAGTTAGGATAGCCTTATGCCTATCCCACGCATGCTTAAACTCCTTTACTGTGTTAACCTCTACCACTTCAGCTGGAAGGCTATTCCATGCATCCACTACCCTCTCAGTAAAGTAATACTTCCTGATATTATTTTTAAACCTTTGTCCCTCTAATTTAAGACTATGTCCTCTTGTTGTGGTAGTTTTTCTTCTTTTAAATATAGTCTCCTCCTTTACTGTGTTGATTCCCTTTATATATTTCAATGTTTCTATCATATCCCCCCTGTCTCGTCTTTCCTCCAAGCTATACATGTTAAGATCCTTTAACCTTTCCTGGTAAGTTTTATCCCGCAATCCATGAACCAGTTTAGTAGCCCTTCTCTGAACCCTCTCTAAGGTATCAATATCCTTCTGAAGATACGGTCTCCAGTACTGTGTACAATACTCCAAGTGAGGTCTCACCAGTGTTCTGTACAATGGCATGAGCACTTCCCTCTTTCTACTGCTAATACCTCTCCCTATACAACCAAGCATTCTGCTAGCTTTTCCTGCTGCTCTATTACATTGTCTGCCTACCTTTAAGTCATCAGAAATAATCACCCCTAAATCCCTTTCCTCATGTGTTGAGGTTAGAACTCTATCAAATATTCTGTACTCTGCCCTTGGGTTTTTACATCCAAGATGCATTAAATTGTCCACATTACTCTCGTTCTCTTAATATTACCTGCGGGATGGTGTTCATCCGATTATATCTTTGAACCAATTCGTCCTTGGATGGCATCCGATGTTGCCCCTTACCCATACCTAATTTAAAACAAAAACACAAACACCTTTTACATTCATTTTACAAATAGTGTGAAATTTACCCCGAATTCAAAGTCATTACCAGGCAAAACTTGCAAGACCGAGACATGCCTGTGACTGGTTTACTTTGAAACCAAGGGCTAGATGGAATGGGGACTGGTACTGGGAACAGCAGAATGGGCATTACCTGATCCTATACTCAATAGCCTATGGACTTGGAGACCCCCAAACACACTATTTAGATATTATTCTTCTGTTCATTTGCCAGAGGGTGGAGGTAACGGTAGGCACCCTTCATTGGAACCATCCCCATTTTTAGTTACCTTCTACCCCACAGTACGCTGAGTGAATAATAGGGCTATTTTATGAATGCTTGTGTAAATAGCATTGTGTATATATGTGTAGTTATACAAATTTGCTGCGTGGAATTCTATGTGCAAGAAACAGTTTTTTACTAACAATACAGTAATTCACGTGCAGGTTTTCAGTTGTCAGTTTTCCACATTTCCCACTTTAACAGAGTTCTAAGATAAGACGTGATGCAAATCAACAGAATGATTTGAAAGAAAGATAGGAGCTTGTTATCACAGCTTTGCTCTTGTTGCTGGTCCCATGGTGACCCACTGAGCACAGTGCAGAACTGACATAACATTATAGATCTCCCACCAGAAGAGAATCCACCAGTTGCGTACAGTGCAGTTATCCTAAAAAAAAACATACCTGAGTATCCAAAGGAAATACTGGAGATTGGACTCAGGTAGATGCCCTTCCCATATGCTGCTCCATGTAACTGGATGTAGAGAGATATAAAGACTGTCATACAAACTGAAGATACAGAGAAAAGCAAAGTATAGAAATAGCTTCACATAGTGAGGCCAGCGTGTAAATTACCTGGTTGAAACCAACCATACAAAGAATCAGTCACCGAAGCTGAAGGACGCCTTACACATCATGCAAAAAAGGCTTCTAAGCTACTGATCTGAACAAAAAATACTAAACAGGCTGAAACCACCTGATAGTTCTAGTAGCTTAGATAATTTGATTAGTATATTTGATCCCTACCAACTGACCTGGGTCATAATTAGCATGTAAAATCAAATTTTCCTGCATAATATGATAGTTGAAATAAAAGTTAATTCAGATCCCATGGTGCCAGATGCATATGGCAACAGTTTCTTTCTAGGGCATGCCTTGAGTGCACCCATGGCATTATGGGGCAATGGTGTTATCCTGGAAATGATATAAGATCCATATCCCAATGCAGAGAATGAATGCCACGTAGCTTTTCACCTTTTCAACTGCAGATGAACTGCTAGATGACAACCAATGTCTCTTGTGCAAAAATTACTATGAAAATAAAATGTCTGTATTAAAGACGTTTAATGCTCCTATTTTTTTTTTTTTAAGCATTACATTCAGTTACGTTTACCTGAAGTTTGGTGTAGGACGCATTCACCAGTCCATTTCGTAGGATGGAGTGCCAGTTCTCAATATGAGAGCCGCTGATTACAAAAAAAGAAAGAAAGTGTGTGTTGATATCCTTTTACCCCTGCTTCCCCTCCCCATGTTATATTTCTGTATCCACCCCACCCCCTCTTATTATGAAATTTCAATAAAGTTTAACTGAAAGAAGAAAAAAAAAGAAAATGTACCCCATTGTGGGCTTACACACAATGTACACATAGTTAGCCAGCACCCACAAATACCATAATAACCTTTCCAGTTCTTAGCTGTTTCTCATTCTATCTTTATAAACCTGCCCTGTTCCATTCTGAATCACAACCATCTTTTCTCACAGTCTTTGTACATCAAATGCAATCATCATTTTAATTCCCAATAAATACCATGCTCTCCTCCCAACCCATTTCCTTGGCTTGTACCGCTTCCTTTCCCTACTATAAAAGTGTCCTTTCATCAAACTCTCCAACATTTCTCATGTTTAACCTGCTCTGATTTCTTCTGTTTTTTTTGTAGCATTTCTTCCTTTGTACCTTCACCCCTTTTTTTTTCAAATCCCACTTCCAAAACTCTACTTTACATCCTAAAACCCAACAGATTTCCACCCAACCCCTGTTCTTCCACCCCATTCCATCCCAATGACTCTCACTGAAAGGCGAAAGTGCTTCCGTAGAGTTTCTTGGCTGTTCGGAATCGGGCCTCCTTGGCTGGGGGGCTACTGAGCAGCAAAAACTGATGAGACGTGTGCATAAACTTCAGCTGCTACCGGGGGAGTTGAGGGAGAGAGATGGAATATGGGGTAGTGGGGTGCAGAAATAAAAGGTAAAGAGAGAGAACGCAGTGGAGTTTAAGGAGCAGGAAATTGGTGGGATGTAGATAAAGACCACATGTATGGGAATATAGCGAGAAGAATGAAAGAAAAAGTGAGGAAAGGACAGACAACAAAAAATGTAATATGGGATGGTAAATAAATGAGAAATGATTTGAAATGGTAGTGGAGAAAGGTGAACACAGCTCAGAGGAAGAAGAGAGAGAGAGAGAGATTGGGTGGGGGAGAGAGAGGAGAAATCCATGCAGCATATTAATCCTGTATAGATACACTGTACAAACGTGTGATTTTTGCTAGCAGGCCAATCCTATTGTATCATTTCAGTTTCTACATTACGGAATAGAATGTGTGACAATTCCTCTTGATATTAAACTATGTGTGACGTGCAGAATTGGCTTACTAAAACAACATAGTGCAGCCTGGTACCTCATTGGCTTTGTGGACTACATTTCCAATAATACAAAGCCCCACTAAAGGGTAGGTTAACATAATGGGCAGCATGGTTAACAAATGTCTGCACTTCCAAAGTTAGTCCATAAAATGATCTGTAGAATAATCTCTACAAAGCTACAGTATCGTCAAACAACCTCTCCCTGTTTCACTATGTCATAAACATAATCTATACAGTTTTCTCCAATTATTTTGTACAATATAATCCCTAAAAATTATGCCAACTGGTGTCACGTTCCAAGATTTCACCTCCTGATTTCCCCCCTACTTTTTACAATCCCCACTATTCATTCACAGTGGGAATTAATGAATTGAATACTTACCCTGCTCAGCGGCAGTTTAACAATATGGGATCTGTTACTGGATATTATCCTGCAATGAGAGACAGAATCTCACACGAAGGTTCAAGGAATAAATCCGTTAATAGACAGATTGTAGGTAGCTGGATTGTATAAATGGACACGATGATGACATGATCTTTAAACCATGCAGCTAAATGTATTTTATTGAAGAAACATGCATATACTGGAGAAATATGAAGGACATAATCACCATTAAATATATAACGCATTTACTTTATCATGTTATAAAACAATCTGGATTGCCATTAACCTTCCCTCACCCCCCTAATTGCCAGTAACCTTCCCTCATCCCCCAATCTTCCACTGCATGATGCTATGGGTGGAGGTATATTCTGTGTTAGTACAACATAGCAACACTGCTAAGCCTCCAATCTTGCAGTTCTCTATTCCTCTGCTCACTTATGTAACTTTTTTTTTTGTAAAGAATAATTCTATCTATATATAAATTCTAGGATGGAATCTGTGAACACCCTGGTCTGTGCATCGATTTTATGCCTGATGAGTGCTGTTCGTAACATTAAACTGCACGTGGATATAAAATTAACCACAGGCACTAGGGTACCACCAGTACTCACCAGATAGATAGATCTTAGTTCCCTCTCAAATTAATTGATGGCAAATATGTTTATCAACTTAATAACAAAAATTAAGTATATTTAAAAACAACACTTCTCCTTGTACTATGGGAACGTGCTACTATGGCCACGTTTTGTACAAGATGCAAGAGAGTGGACACAGCGTAATAATTAATGTTAAATTGCTCTGTTTATCCCAAATGTCTTATTCTGTTCTTGAACGAAAAGCTTAATTTTGTTTTTATTAATTCCACAATTTATTAGCTATTTGAAAAACTTCATGGTAGTTTCTGAGCTTGATAATCAACGTACCACTGCAGCAAAGGATGGGCCAATGGATCTAGTCTATCCATCTGTTTCTTGATTTCTAGGTAGGATCCCTAAAAAAAAGCATCAAAGTGTTACTAACCTTCCATTTGCTCCCATTTCGCACACTAGTTGTAATCAAGTTACCTGGGTCATCTCGCGGATTGACATAACACTGTCTAAGGCTTTCTGAAGGCGTTCGTAATTCTTCTTCTGCAAAGAAGGAAACAATAAATATATTAAAAGGGAATCTAACACTTTTAAAAAAGTTGTTTTAGGGTTTTTTTTGTAAATGTGTTTATTAGAATTTTCCATTTTTTTCATTTGCAAAGATCATGTAAGAAAATCAAGAGATAAAACAGTGAGACACGCAGGTCTAGAGTAAACATAGAGGTTCAATGGAGTAGAGTAGACTCGCAGGTCTGTAAAATTGTAACATAACAAGGATATTAGCAAGTCTCAAACTGGAGACAGAGTGTCAATAATAGTTCATCAGATATTCTTAATTGCAGTATATCAGCACATACATATGCTCAGTAAACGGTAATCAAGCTTTATCATCTTATCTGGTGTTGTGATATGATTCTGGGGCTTTTTACATAGGCATTCCCTGCTCCTGGGGCCCAGCGTAGTGGGCCTTTCTATGTCTATCGGGTGGGTATCCCAGCTCACTCCCAACCCGGTAAAAAGATAAAAGGGGAGGGAGCAGGGAAAAGCACAGGTAGGCAAGGACTGTGGGGGTGGCAGCAAATTATTAGGGAATGAGTAGGAGAGAAGGAGGCCCAGGCCTCTTGTTGCGGAATATTGCGGCTATGCAGTCCCCCGGAAGGGGCATGTCCAACTCTGGTTTAGAGGGTAGACCTTATGATTTATTGTATGAGTGCTTGGAAGTGGAAGTAGCCAGTGAGTCCAGACATCATAGTATATCTGAGATCTGCCACTCGACTGGAAAGTGAGATCTTCCATGGAGCGGAACTCTTCCATGCTGTGGAACCAAAGGGTTAGGAGTGGGTAAAGCTCTTCACTATATTAAGGATTTTAATTCTCAGAGACTTTTTATAGACAGAGGTCTGGAGTTTGGTATGATGGAGTAGGAGCGGGGCTAGGTTAAAGGGGGTGGGGTATCAGTGAATTTTTGAATATTATTGTCATATTCAAAAATCTTAAATTCAAAACTTTTACCTTTCAGTCCATTAGTTCCAGCAACAATTCCTCACTAGCCACTAGTCTAACCAAAAATACTCTCACCTGAACAGCATGATCATCCAAACAAGCTATAAGAGGCCACACCTGATTTCAAAGCAGGCCCGGACTGGCCACAGGGCACACTGGGCAAAATCACAGGATCTCCCCTGCCAGCCCCTGCAGGGCCAGCGCTATCTGAACGCTGGCCCTGCAGTAGTCCACGGCGGGCCGGTGGGGAGATCAAAGATCTCCCTCACAGGCCCACATACCGTATACGGCGGGGAGAGAGGGAGGGAGCCAGGAGAGGAACCCGGAGGAGGTCTAACTTAAAGCTCCGCCGGGTTCCTCTCGCGAGATTCGGAGCGTTGCCATGGCTACACAGGCTAGAGTTCACTCACCACTAGGACCACCAGGGATGGATGGCAGCAGCAGGATCCCCCCTCCCAGGCATAAGGTAAGCAGGGAGGGGGGAAATAATCACCCAAGTCACATCAGCCTCACTTGATCACACACACCCTGCACACTTGGCGCTCACAGCACCCTCACTCACACACACTGCACCCCTGACACTCACAGCACCCTCACACATACACACACTGCACCCCAGACACTCACAGCACCCTCACTCACACACACTACACCCATGACACTCACAGCACCCTCACTCACACACACTGCACCCCATGACACTCACAGCACTCTCACTCACACACTACACACACACTGCACCCCTGACACTCAGCACCATCACTCACACACATGCACTGCACCCCTGACACTCACAGCACCCCAGCTTACACACACACTGCACCCTGACACTCACAGCACCCTCACTCACTCACACACTACACACACACTGCACCCCTGACACTCAGCACCCTCACTCACACACATGCATTGCATTCCTGACACTGACAGCACCCTCACACACACACACTCCACCCCTGACACCTACAGCACTATCACTCACACACACCCTGCACACCTGACACTCACAGCACCCTCACTCACTCACACACTGCACCCCTGACACTCACAGCACCCACACACACACACTGCACCCCTGACACTGACAGCACCCAAACACACACACTGCACCCCTGACACTGACAGCACCATCACTCGTACACACTGCACCCCTGACACTCACAGCACCCTCACTCGCACACACTGCACCCCTGACACAGCACCCTCACTCACACACACTGCAACCCTGACACTCACAGCACCCTCACACACACTGCACCCCTGACACTCACAGCACCATTACTCACACACACTGCACCCCTGACACTCACAGCACCCTCACACATACACACACTGCACCCCTGACACTGACAGCACCCACACACACACACTGGACCCCTGACACTCACAGCACCATCACTCACACACACTGTACCCCTGACACTCACAGCACCCTCACACGCAGCTTCCTCACACGCCCATAGCACCCTCACGCAAACACAGCACCCATCACGCACACACACACACACTAAACCCCTTACACACACACTGCACAATACGCTTTCCTAGCATTTTTGTCTCCTGGTATTCCATCAAAGGAGACACCGGAGACAAATTTCAAGCAAACACAGTGCAAGCATGTTATTAAATTTGCTTATGCTGTGCAGAACAAATACAGGATCTTTTTCTCATGCTAGAGCTCTTCAGCAGAACTCTGCGCATGATCTACCCTGGAAGAGCATTGAACCAACATACTTTGTGATGGGATGTGCTTGTCATTGGTGATGACACCAATCTGGCCCCGCCCCCTTTTAATTGGGCCACTGTAATTAAAAAATGTCCGGGCTGAATTTTCTTCCCAGTCTGGCCCTGTTTCCAAGGGTTCCTTTACAATGATTGAAGTTTGTGCCCTGAAGTGGAAAAGACTTCTTATCCTGGCTCATAGAACATAGAAACATAGAATGTGACGGCAGATAAGAACCATTCGGCCCATCTAGTCTGCCCAATTTTCTAAATACTTTCATTAGTCCCTAGCCTTATCTTATAGTTAGGATAGCCTTATGCCTATCCCACGCATGCTTAAACTCCTTTACTGTGTTAACCTCTACCACTTCAGCTGGAAGGCTATTCCATGCATCCACTACCCTCTCAGTAAAGTAATACTTCCTGATATTATTTTTAAACCTTTGTCCCTCTAATTTAAGACTATGTCCTCTTGTTGTGGTAGTTTTTCTTCTTTTAAATATAGTCTCCTCCTTTACTGTGTTGATTCCCTTTATATATTTAAATGTTTCTATCATATCCCCCCTGTCTCGTCTTTCCTCCAAGCTATACATGTTAAGATCCTTTAACCTTTCCTGGTAAGTTTTATCCCGCAATCCATGAATCAGTTTAGTAGCCCTTCTCTGAACCCTCTCTAAGGTATCAATATCCTTCTGAAGATACGGTCTCCAGTACTGTGTACAATACTCCAAGTGAGGTCTCACCAGTGTTCTGTACAATGGCATGAGCACTTCCCTCTTTCTACTGCTAATACCTCTCCCTATACAACCAAGCATTCTGCTAGCATTTCCTGCTGCTCTATTACATTGTCTGCCTACCTTTAAGTCATCAGAAATAATCACCCCTAAATCCCTTTCCTCATATGTTGAGGTTAGGACTCTATCAAATATTCTGTACTCTGCCCTTGGGTTTTTACGTCCAAGATGCATTATCTTGCACTTATCCACATTAAATGTCAGTTGCCACAATTCTGACCATTTTTCTAGTTTACCTAAATCATTTGTCATTTGGCTTATCCCTCCTGGAACATCAACCCTGTTACATATCTTAGTATCATCAGCAAAAAGACATACCTTACCATCAAGACCTTCTGCAATATCACTAATAAAAATATTAAAGAGAATGGGTCCAAGTACAGATCCCTGAGGTACCCCACTGGTGACAAGTCCAAGCTTCGAATATATTCCATTAACTACAACCCTCTGTTGCCTGTTACTCTGAAATCCTGATACTATCTGAACCATCCTAATTCATCCTGTTCGACTTGCCTCACTTACTGAACACTGCTTAACCAACCTGGAGATCCTGATCATCTATTCCTACCAGCTTTAGTCAATACTGGACTTTGTTTCACCATTGCTTTGTTCCTACAAATTACCGGTAACTATGTAACCTACCTGGATATCCTGATCTTCTGTTCCTACCAACTTTATTTAAATACTGGACTTTGATCTATTTTTACTTTATTTCTACACTACTGAACAAACCTGGATATTGCAACATTCCTTATATTTGCAAACATCCTGAAAGACCTTGTTTCTTCTATCTAAACCCTGCTGTACAACCTCTAGAACCAAAGAGACTGGTCCTCTAAATGTCAGACTTCTCAGTATTACTTGTTCCTATATATTGTTGTTTAGTCGTATATAATTGTCATGTAACCTGTAATTTCTCTTATAGGTTTTCCTTCTCTTTATTTTCCTATAATATCTCATCTAAGCTATTCTGTTATCTTACTACCTGTCTGTGAAGAAATCCCCTGTTCCCTATGTTATATACCCATTGCATTCCCTTTTTTTTTACTCTATGTCTGCCCATTGCATTCGGTAGATCTAACTACCGAACAAAGACCACCCCTCTGGCTCATTAAACATCAAAGTTTGGGTGAAATTGTTACCTCTGTATGTGCGGCCAGCGTTCGTCAGTCGAACGCCACGTGGCAGAGAAAACCGCGGCCATTTTTGTTCATGCGAACAAAGACAGCGGGACCTGGTCGTCGAGTGCATGGAACTAAAAACAGACACTCGACTTCCCGAACACCGGTCGCAAACAGACGAACGCTGGAACTTTATTTACCGAATAGCTAGCAGAGCGCTATTCGGTACTTTGGTGTATTCGACAGAGGGGCATGAACGCTGCTAGGAGACAGAGGGGTCCATTCGGTACTTTGTTCATTTTGAGGCTTTTTCGAAAGTGACCGGCAAAACCCACCAAATTCATGGAACTGTTTTGGGCATACAGCCCAGGGGGAGCCGGTCACACAAGACTTCCATAGTTTTTGGGGATACCTCGAGTATAAAGGGGTGTTCTAGATATTGGGGAAAAAGGTGATTTTTCAGCCCGGAGATAATTAAGTTACTATTTTATCAGACTTAATTATCGCCTAGGCTAGGGGAGGGAATTGTAGGTGTGTGTTAAAGTTTTACTGTAGGTGATTGGTTAATGTTTGTCCCTCCCTGAGGGCTGTCCCCTTGCATGTGGACTTGCATAAAAGCTGTTTGCACCCATTAAAGGACTGTTCATTTTGTACCCTTCTTCTTGACTTCGGCTGATGTTTGGGGATTCGTGTGTTTCACTAAGGGAATCATCTTGTGAAGCTATTGGGATTGCTATAGGATTCGTCTACCCCATCATTCCTGTAATCTTTCCTGCATACTCACCTATATTGTCGTTTATAGGTTCTTCTTCATATTGCCTAAACCTCTGTTACTATTGTCTTTCGTTATATCACTTATAATTTAGTTTATAGGTTCTACTTTCTCCCTTAGTCTCTTTTATTTCCTTTTCCCTTTAAGTTCTGCTACTCTTGTTATTTTCTTGTTAAACCATGTCTAAGATGCTAAATAAAGAACCTAACGTTAAAGGACCACTATAGTGCCAGGAAAACATACTTGTTTTCCTGGCACTATAGTGCCCTGTGGGTGCCCCCACCCTCAGGGACCCCCTCCTGCCCGGCTCTGGAAGGGGGAAAAGGGGGAAAACTTACCTTTTTCCAGCACCAGGCGGAGAGCTCTCCTCCTCCGATGGTCCTCTTCTCCTCCCCGTCGGCTGAATACGCACGCGCGGCAAGAGCTGCGCGCGTATTCAGCCGGTCACATTATCAATGCTTTCCTATGGACGCTTGCGTGCTCTCACTGTGAGAAGCACGCAAGCGCCTCTAGCGGCTGTCAATGAGACAGCCGCTAGAGGAAATAAGGGAAGGCTTAACCCATTCATAAACATAGCAGTTTCTCTGAAACTGCTGTTTATGAAAAAATGGGTTAACCCTAGCTGGACCAGGCACCCAGACCACCTCATTAAGCTGAAGTGGTCTGGGTGCCTAGAGTGGTCCTTTAAACCCGGCACAAGTCTCTTGTCTGACCTGATGCAAAACCTGACAATTATATAAATCCTTTTCTAGAATGAACATATCAGGGCACAGCTACACCACAGGTGGAGAAGGATGTCTACCTCCCTTCCACACTGCTCATCAATGGATGGTACCGTGATGTGTAGTACATGTGGGGTTTTGTACCAGAATGTCAGTAGTTTATAGGCAGATTTCGGGATCTTGCTAGAGATTGCACATCGGTGGTGCATCGGGTCACATATTTTTTGCCATTGTGCAAAGGTGAAAGTCTCCCATTTTGCCACGAAACTAGGAGGTGGTTGCCTCCTCTGTGTCATGTGCAAATTGTATAGGAAAGAGATTCTGCATTCCAGTGGATCTTCCACCATACAGATGGCCTCCTACAAGTTGGTGGCGCGTTTCATGAGTGGCCTCTGGTGCATAGAATAGAACAATTTTGTTAGCTGTTTGTAGCGAAACTGTTGCATAAAGTTTGGGTTCCCTGTTCCCATCAATGTTACTATGGGTTTAACCTTACCCTGTTGTAGTATGTGTCTGATCTGCAGTAAGTCTGCCCCGTTTAGTATTTGAAAGGCCTTTGTTTCTAGGCCAGATGGAAATGCTGGGTTGTGAGTTATAGGATAGAGGGATGAGGGGAAAGAAGTGAGCTCCAACTTCGTGGCCTGCGTGTGCCCAATGTGGAATGTCGATTTAATAAAGGGGCGTTGGGCCGCTAGTCTTGATCCAATTAGAAGGTCCAGCCACGGCACCACCGTAATTGGTCTCCCCATTTACGTAGCCTCTATCCATTTCCAAAGTTTGTTCACTCCTTTCTTAGACCATTCCATTTGTGACCCTTTGCATGTGTGTGGATGGATAATAGAGTTTTAAGTCCGGTAGCGTCAGCCCACTGTGTCGGATACGCGGATAGAATCTCTGCCACACAAACCTCAGATTCATGGTTCGTAGTGAGGTAAAAACATCATTTGGGATGGATATCTGTAGGGCCTGAAAAAGGTATAGGACCCGTGGTAGGAGGTTCATCTTTATGATCCCCACACTGCCAAGCCAAGAGATGAACGGCCAAGACCATCCTTTAAGTTCCCTCTCTACATTAACCGCTGAATGTTTGATTGGTATAATTAAACTGGGTCTCATGTTATCCTAGATATTTTAAGGCAGTCTCTGTCCACTGGAAAGGGTATTGCTGTTTCAGTAGTCTAGTCTGTTGTTTAGGCAATGAAATGTGAAGGACAGTGCATTTAGAGTAGTTGATCTTAAAATTCGACAGAGAGCTATAAGTTTCAAATTTAGTCATGATTTGTGGTAGGGAGTAGATCAGGTCAGTCCCGAAAAATACAAACACAACACATATTGCTTTGATTTGGAAAATGGGGGAACTTCTCACAGCTCAATTTTCAATTTTTTTTTAAAACTGTCAGGTATATTGGTGTGACTTATTTGGAAATCAAAATGAATTTAAACCGAATTTACATTTTTTCTTTTTTTCAATGTCTTAAGTTCGCCAATTTTAAGCTAACATATAAAGTAAGCTTTAAATAATGTTTTCATTCATAACAATTTACAATTTAGTAAATAAGCATGTCTGAGCATGTGACAAATATGTCTTGTCACCCATTTGATAACTTTCCCAGATCCTTGACAAAGATTCCATGTCATATTTACATAATGTGAATTAATATATTAAATTACATACAGGTTCTTCAACCATTAGAGCAAATTATAGTCAAACAACAACAAGGATTAGCAGAAAAAGCACAAAGGGATAGAGTGGAAAAAATAAGCACATGGTAGAAAAGGATAAAATAGAAATGTGCAAAGGGGAATCAGGCGGAACTCACAGCGTTTGGAAACAAAAAGCACAAATGAAACCAGAAAATAATGAAACTAAATCCGAGAAAGAAAATACGAAGGCAACAACAAAAAACAACAACATGGAAAGAGAGGGAACAATGAAGTATTAAGGTATCATAAAATCACAAATATAGAAAGCAGAAAAAAAAGGTAAAAGGTATTGAGAGACACAGAAAAGCACTAAAGACAGAAAACGTGGAGAATAGAGTATATGAGTATATCCGTATAGATCAGAATGATTTTCAGCTCAGCTTAATTTAAGGTTACCTTAGGATTAAAGGCCAGTGTTTTGGGGTCGTTGGGATCCACAACTGATGGGTACGGCTCAAATATGATGCTTTTCCTAGGTGACTCCAGTGCAGCCCGGCACATTGCAACCAGCAGGCCCACCACCTGCAAGGGACATTAACATACATGTCTTCATGTGAATAAGTAGGAAATCACTGACTTGAAGAAATATTGCAGCCGTAGCATCAATAAACAGAGCATTGTTTCACAGAGAAATGCCTTTACCTCAGCTCCTGTTGCAACTTCTTCTGCAGCTCCCGACATCACACCCAAGGTGTAGAATGAAAAGACACAAAGCTCACGGGTACACACTGCTGGCTGAAAGGTGAAAGAATTGAATAGAAGGAAATAACAAAGACAAGATATATCAAATGAACAGACAGAAAACAAAAACGCAGTATAGATATGTGGGGGGAGGAGAGAGACATGTGGTCAGTACTATAAGTACTATTAAAAAGAAAGGTTGCACAATAAAACGTTCAGCCTTGCACTTCAGAATTATTTAACAATAATGTTGCAGAGCAGAACAAATTGAATTCCATTGATATGGGTTTTTGCATATCATATCCACCAGCTTGGAGCCCAAGGTGAGAACACACTACGAGAATATGAATACAAGTATGTACATGCATTGACACAGTAAGCACACAATAGGCTACTCGTGCACTTACCTTGAGCATGGACGCATTCTGGAAGACATGCTGTTCATCGCACACCACGCAGTACTCGTTTAGAGTGGGGAGGCGCTGTTCTGCATACTTCATTATCTGTGGGGGTGGGGGGGTGGGGAGGAGGAGTATAAAACACCAGGAGGAAAGTCATTGTAAATCCGCAAAGGAAACACTGGAAGAGCACTTAAGCAAATATGGGGAATAATAGCAAAAAGGAGGAAAATATATGATGGAAAAGACGACAATGTCTAACCTGCACCAGAAATCCATATTCCAGAGTAGGTACCGTTTTACAGTGTCCACTGACCTAAAAGAGCAAAAAAATATATATTTTTGTATTATTTTTATGTGTTAGTAACCCCTTTCATTATTACATCTTTGTTATATGCTGTATATTCATGGCAGATGCATATTTATGAGCAATCTATTTTTACTGTGTACTGAGGTTTATTCCCCAAAATGGGAATTGTGGAGAATTGATTAGAGAAATGCAAATTTTAGCCCAAAGTAGCAAAGTAGAGAAAAGCAAAGGAGTTGTAGATTTTTTTTTTGTCAAATGCAGGTATTTTGATTTATAATGTGTAATTCTGCCCTACCTCCATGTCTAATGACAATTTAAAAGTGTGTCATTTTTGGACAATATATCTAATAATCATGCATGTGTTTGGTTTTAGCTATTGAGTGCCTCTTCCACCATTCATGATGGATGCTACAACAGACTTAGCCTGTCTCTTGTGTTTTGTCTTCTCCACCCATCCTTCCACTCTTCCCTTTAAGCTATTTAATAAGTTTGTCTGTCTCCAAAACAGTCAACATCTGTTTGGCACTGTGTTCCTGTTTCATCAACTATGCCCAGGGGGTATAAGTTTATTTTTAGAAGAGTGTCTAATTAGCTGTCATGTTGATATTCTATCTGGCATGCTGTCTGACAGTCCCTCTGTCACGGTGTCTCTAGAGCTGCCATGTTCATATTCTCTTAGCTTTTTTTGTCTCTAGTTATGGCTAAGTTTGTTGTCCAACAATCTATCATGTTAGTTTTAGTGTCCTGGCTATTTATATCTTTTCTACACTTAGAGGTATAACCTACCTGGGTCGTGGGGTTGTGAGACCCATAAATGTCAGATTTTGGATTCCTAAGAGTGCAAGATACAGATCTGTTCATAATACGTGGGGCACGAAGATCTGTCCCAGCAAGGCCACTTCGGAGATCCGGCCCTGTAAGGCTGCTCCGTACAGTAGAATCTTGGACCCCTGGGAAACTTGGTGACCTGATAGAGAAAGCAAACACTCAATAATTCTGGCAGAAACAGGAAGGTTGCCATGAGGACAAACTGAGACACTCAGAAAGAAACACACAAAACACGCAAAGACACACAGCCATGGGAGTAAAAAGAAACAACACATTTAGAATGTGACAACAGAGGTGAATAGTAGCATTCGCAGGACATACAAATTAAGAGAAACAGAAATAAATACAACAGGAAGGCAAATTAACAGAGGGATAAATATGTAGACAAAGGCACACGGAGAGCAGCAGATGGGTGAAGACACACAAAGGCATTGCAGGCTGAGAAATTAATTACTGGAAATATGGAGAGGCAGACAAACGAATATATTTGAAAAGAGACAGTGAAGGACAACTGAGGTGGAAATATTCAGTCACATAAAGACTGGTTAAAAACCTAGGCCCCAAAAAAAGACAATACATGTTTTAATGAAGCGTACATAGAGGAAAATCTTAAATGGAAAAATATAGGCACATTAAACAACAGACATGAAAGAAACCGATATCACAGAAATAGAAGAGAGACCGAATGAAAACAAAGATGGGGAATGACCGACACAAACAGACAGCAACGGTTCAAAGACATAGATAAAGACAAAGAGTTAAAAATAACAGGTTAAAATGGCACTCAACAGGTAGAAAGATAAAATACAAATAGACAAATACATAAAAGGAAACATACATGATGAAAAGTAACGAGAATGTAACATGAAGTCTGTGCCACAGATTAGGGACTGATTCTCATATGTCTTGTCAAGCTCTGCTTGAGATGACAACCATAATGGATCATATACATATTTAGAGTGAGTTATAGTGTAAAGAATTCAACTTTGTGTTTAAAATGCCTTATTTCCTTCTTTGTCAATGGCATTTTGGACGCTGCAGGAGCATCCTGTGTGTGATTGAAGTTCGATTTACAAATCAGGAGACTAAAAACTTCTAAAGTGAAAACCATTGAAATGAAGCCATTTTTGTTTTCATGCAGGTTGTGTCAGTCACAGTCAGGGGAGGTGTGACTAAGGCTTCATATACCAAAACAGAAACTCCTAAATGGCAACGTATTGAGCCGTGAAACTGCATGGGGCATGATCTATAAAACAACACCGCTACATTAAGCTAAAGTTGTTTTGGTACCTATAGTGTCTCTTTAAGTAATAAATCACATATTGGGTTTTCAATCTTCATCCTTCGAGATTACTAAAACAAACAAATACTATGTAACATAAATATAGGCTTAAATTGCCAGACTGATTGGTGTGTGCTAGATATGTTTGGATGGCTATGAATAGACTTACTTTGGCACTGGGGAGAATATGCTGAGCCCAGCCCGGAATCGTTTGATGCTACCACTAACTCTAAGCCATCGTAGCCTCCTCTCTTGTTGGGATCGCAGAACTTCATTACTGAGATATCTCCATTGATGGGAGGAAAACAGTGACAAGATCCTGGGATAGATGACAACAAGTTCAACATTAAGCAAATCAGTAATTATGTGAGAATTTATATATCAAATGGGTTGGATGATTTCTTCATTGGCAAGCACTGTGAAAAACTAAATGGCAGACAACAAAGCTGGAATTGTTCTCAAACTATTTCATTTACATTCCACATATATTCAAATTCCCCTCTCTTGTCTTATTATATCCTCCCTACTTCCTTATCTTCCCTCAAACCTAACACTCTTACTTCTTCAGCTGAATTCCAAGTCCGAAATCCTCTCTGTTTGATGGCTGAAACACATCAATGGTTGGTTCTGCAAAAATAAAGAAGAAAAAGAGTTAAACAGCATGTTGGCATGCTCCTATATTTTACAGATTTATATAGGTAAGTGAAAAACAATAGATAATAACTACACCCATTTTAGCCAAACCTTTATTATTATTTTTTTTAATTCTTTTTGTTACTTTTCACATTTAATTCAATTTCAACAAATACGAAAAAGAACAAAGCAAAAATTAAAAAAATAAAATAAAAATATTAACCATATTAGAATTACAAAACTAACTCTTGAACGAGGACATATTACACAACTAACTCTTGAACGAGGACATATTACACAACTAGCTCTTGAATGAGGACCAAAGATGCAAGTAAGGGGTCTCCGTGAATGCGACATGCTTTGAAGGACATTATATACATGACTGTATTAGTTCTGCTACCATATGGATGAAAGCAGATTTATAAAGGGATTTTATACCCAGTGTATTTAAAAATCTTGGAATCTGAATAATTTAGAGGTAGTGCACTGAGCTTATAATGCAAAGGTTGTGAGTTCAATTTCCACATGGAGAGATTTTATTTTCCTGCCTATTCGGATTCCTGTGTTGTGATTTGTTGTAATGTGTTTTTTTTCTGCTCATTATGTTTCCACAAGTATAATAGTGTCATTATCAAATTTAGATTTTCTAAAAGCCACACCTGTCACAGTCTGAGGACTATTCAGAATTTGCAAAGACCCCTGACGGTGACATCACCGTTGGGGGTCCGGTGGCAGACAAAGGTGACCTCACAGCCACCACCATCTTCTCCCGATGGATCCTCTTCAGCTCAGGGCACTGATGCGTCACTGCTGAATAGTGATGTCCCGAACGGTTCGCCGAACGGTTCGCTGGGGACGGAGAACATATGCGCTGTTCGGTCCGCCCCCATTTGTCATCATTGAGTAAACTTTGACCCTGTACCTCACAGTCAGCAGACACATTCCAGCCAATCAGCAGCAGGCCCTCCCTCCTAGACCCTCCCTCCTCAGATACACGGCAAGTGTATATGTGTGTATCATAGAGTTCCATAGGAAAAAAAGGTCAAGGCAACCTTTTTGTATTTATAAAGAGCCAACCTATTCAGTAGCGCTGTGAAATGACCTGCACAAACATAGATAGTGCAACAATTCTGACTTACTCCTAATGTAACATGATGTTGTACAAAACGCACAAATACTGAAATCTCACATTTAACATCATTTAATAAATGATGACTAGCTGAACACGCTAAAAAGAACATCATCCTTAGTGTGACTAACTGAAGGTACAGTTAGTCACACTAAGTACAGTAATGGAGAAAGAAGGCACAGGAATTTATAATTGGCTCCCAAGGGCCTGCCACATGCTGGGTTGATCTTTTCATAAGGGACCCGCTGCAAACATTCTAAGTATTGTGCATAGACAGAACAGATTGTGCTCATCGTGTCTTCGAGTCGCAGCTCCCAGAATAGAGCCTGATCCTTGAAACGATCGTCGGGGCTCTATTCTGCAGTCAGTTCTGTCATTTAACCCAGAAGGCTTTCTTCATAACACGTGGAGTGATTGCAGTACTATGGAACCTGCCTGTACACTTCATTCTATACGTATACCTGTCATCTCTCCTTTCTCGTCTCCTTTTTTGTACTGTAGCAGGAAGTTGTTTATCCAGAATATCGTAGCATGATTGGGATGTTTAGTCTAGTATAGGTGCCCTCGAAGGCCTGCTCAGGGACAGATTCTTAGGGGCTATATCTCTAATTCATTGCCTCTCCCACCTGTTGTTATTTTCTACCATTATACCTACTGCTTCAATGTCTGCTTCTGATATAAACTGATACCAACCTTACTCTGTGTGTCCTTATTTGGATACTTACCGTATTTATTTTATGTAGAAACTGCAAGTCTTGATTTCTTTGCTACTGCCATTAAAGGAACACTATAGTGTCAGGAAGACAAATATGTATTCCTGACACTATAGTGTTAATCTACCTACTAGGATCCTCAGCCTTCCTTGCATCTATTAGGAAAGGTGTTTAAACTCCCTTTTCCCCCCCACACCGCACAGGTCTTGCTGCGACTGTTAAACTTGACCATCTCAGCCAATCCAATGCTTTCCAAAATTCCCCTAAAAACTACTCTTACATTAACACCATTTAAAAACAAACAAAAAAACAAACTTATCACATCGAAATATAAAATTTGCATTTCAGTTGGAATTTGGTTAAGTTATTTTCAACTGAATCTTATTGCTGCAATTCGATCCATTTAATAAAAATTGTACAAAAAAATTACCTGGACCATCCAAGTACTGAGAGAGTGAAAATCGCAAGCGGAGAACTATAGGTTCTGTGCGTATAACCTTCCAAGCAGTGGCTACCTCTTCCTGTTGTAGGACAAAATGGCAGAAATAGGAAGGAAGAGATTTTGGGTAAGAACATGATAGACATATGAACATTAATGGTAAGCAATAGGGGATGAAGAAGCAAACAAAGGGCTTGGGAGAAAGTTGGAAGAAAATAGATGTGATGAATGACCTGGTCCCCTGATATGTTTTGCGAAAGCCGCATGTTTGCAGCGCCATTTTGGAATGGATGCGATGAGATACTGTTTGCAATGTATTTTGTAGGTTAATTAAGTTAAATTCTGTACTGTAAGTGACCACTTGATGTTGGAGTCGGCAAGTCTGCACTTGTAATTACATGTTATCTACTACAGCAAAAGGCTGTGATAAAGGGACAAACCCGTTTTCCTGGCACTATAGGTTTAATAGGTCCCTCCCTCGCGCCCATGGGGAAAACCTGACGGTGGAGGTCCGTAAGAACGTCCAACGTCAAATAACGGACGAAAAGTCAGTTTGGATTCCGGAAGCACCCCCAGTGGCTGTATGGTAGATAGCCACTGAGGGCAGACTTAGTACTGCAATGTATGTTTTACATTGCAGCAATAAGTGCAAAAGGGTTACAGCACCCAGACCACTTCAAGGAGCTACAGTGTCCTTTTAATGTAATCAGAGATTGTTCTGAAAGGGTCAGTGGGTCCAGATATCTACCTGGCCAAGCAAGATAACGGTTTGTGTCATGGTTTAGGTAAAAGAAACCCACAGACGATAGTGTGCCTGAACTGATACACCTTCAGTGCCAGAGACGCCAGGGCCATAAAAATGAAAGTGAAAATAGAAAACACAGCAACATGTACATATAGAAACAACATATGGAGAAAGGACAGAAATGTCCGGTGTCACCTACATCCAGGAAGCCGATGTTAATGTGCAAATCAATGTCAGCATCATCAATGGTCCCGTACTCTCTGTACAGATTAAACATAATGACATAGTGATGTTATAGAAAGACATACTAAGCAATCAGTGTCTGTTGAGCTCTTCACTATTTATGAGGGTGAGCCAGAATCTAGCACATTGTCTGATTGATCTCAGCAATGAGCTAAGCCTTGCACTACAAAGCTTAATTGAGACACAGAGCTTCTGGCTCTCCATGAGGGTCAAAGTGGTGCCTGAAGTCAAACAGTTCCAAAAAAGGGTTAACACTTTATAATGGGGGCGCAAGGGCAATTCAAGCACCATAATCACTACAGCGGTAGTTGTCATGCTTCTTGGAATGTTCCTTTATACAATAAGAATCGTAGCTCAGCTTACCAAGGTGGACACCAGCAAACCTAATGTACAGATTCTATGTACTAACATTTGCAGTTTCTCACCTGACAGACACGGCATTTTCACTGTATATCTCCTTTACGGCTTCAATATCTGCATCTAGCTGAGGGTGTCTGTACAGATCAGCACAGCACGTACCCTAGAAAAAGAATAAAATACTGTTTTCTGAATTGTAATCATATAAGACAGGGACCTGGAGTTCAAAAAATAAGGATTGAAAGAACGAGGAGAGACTTTTGCAAATAGTTCATCGGAGAGAGGGTTTTTAAAAGACATACATTTGCACGGAGTTAGTGTGGAGGTGAAACAAGTGTGATCGATGGTGAGACCAGCATGTAAAAATACTAAAGGAATAATGAACACATGTAAATTGTAACTAGTTTGGACTGGAGACAAAGGACATTATAGAGGAGGTCTGTGCCGTAGGAAAAACCAAACATTAATGCACTATTTCCTTGTCACAGTGATGGAGCTAGCCAGGTAGATTGTTTAATCACACACTATCAATGGAAGGCAAAGGAAGAGGTCAAGAGTGATCTGAGTCACGGATGGTCCATGTCTCTATTCTAAGCACTCTGTATCTTAAATGGACATTGTAGTCACCAAAAAAAGTTAACTTAATAAATCAGTTTTTGGTGTATAGATCATGCCCCTACAGTCTCACTGCACAGTTGTCTGCCATTTAGGAGTTACATCACTTTGTTTATGCAGTCCTAGTAAAGTGAGATCTAATGCTTTCACTTCCTTTCCTGTGCAGTGTGTTTAATTTAGAATTTCATATCTCCAGCACTTCTGATGATGCCAGCCAAGGACACTATATTTAGGGAAACAAAGGTGGTGCGGGGGGGAGGAGAGTATATAGTGATTTTAGTACTATCAGGTCAGGAATACATGTTTGTGTTCCTGAACCTATAGTGTTCCTTTAAGCTTTAATGAGCTATATAGGGACAGATTAGATGACATTTTGGTGACAGAGCTGCCTTAACCCATTTAATGCCAGAATCGATTATAAACATTTTTAATTTTATGAATTTTGCAGTATGAAATCTAGACCATAAAGCCTCACTCACCAGTGGCTTAAATACCGGGGTCGCAGGGGTCGCGGCTGCGACCAGGCCGGGCCCACCAGGGGGCCCAGCCGACCTGCGACCCGGTATGTACCCACTGTGGCCAGCCTCTTCTCCTGGGGGGCCCAGGAGTTGACCACCTCAGGGCCCCCCGAGGCTGGCCCTGGTATCACCGGGCGGGCAGGCTGGCGGGCGCGCGAGGGAGCACTGTCCCCTGTGTGCTCCCTCTCGCACCGCACTGATACCGGAGCCGGAAGATGACGTCATCTTCCAACTCCTGCATCAGTACGCAGCGCGCGAGGGAGCTGAAGAGGGAGCACAGAGAGGACAGTGCTCCATCGCGCACCCGCCAGACGGCTCGCCCGGGGACCGGCCGCCCAGGAGCCCAGCAGCACCACTGGACCCCAGGGAATCCCCTCAGCACTCCAAAAGGTAAGGAGGCTGGGGGATTAAATTTTAAAAAAAAAACATGTGTGAGTGTGTTAGTGTGTGTGTTAGTGTGTGTGTGTTAGTGTGTGTGTCTGTTATTGAGTGTGTGTCTGCTAGTGAGTGTCTGTGAGTGTGTTACTGTGTGTCTGTTACTGAGTGTGTTTGTGTGTGTCTGTTAGTGAGACTGTTCGATGTCTGTTAGTGAGTGTGTGTTTGTCAGTGAGAGTGTATGTTTTGTAAGTGAGTGTGTATGTATGTCTATCGCTGAGTGTGTCTCTGTCAGTAAATGTGTGTGTCTGTTAGCTAGTGTGTATGCATCTGTTTGTGTGAGTGTGTGTGTCTTCAGCACTTACCTTTCTCCAGCGCCGGACTCCCTTGGCACTGGGGATCCCTCCACCTCTCAACTCCGAATGCGCATGCGCGGCAAGAGCCGCGCGCGCATTCAAACCGCCCATAGGAACGCGTTACTCAATGCTTTCCTATGGACGTTCAGTGTCTTAGAATCGCGGAAGCTCCTCTAGCGGCTGTCAATGAGACAGCCACTAGAGGCTGAATTAACCCTCAATGAAACATAGCATTTTCTGTGAAACTGCTATGTTTTCAACTGCAGGGTTAAAACTAGAGGGACCTGGCACCCAGACCACTTCATTGAGCTGATGTGATCTGGGTGTCTGTAGTGGTCCTTTAAGTGTGTGTGCATCTGCATGCACTGGCGAGCATACCGCGGTCGCAGGGGTCGCAGCCCTGCAACCCCTACGACCAGGTGCCCGCCGCCATGTGTTGCGGCCCCGGCCCGCACAGAGTAAGCGCGGGGAGGGGGGGCCCACGGATCAATTTTCGCACCGGGGCCCCATGGGTCATGTGTACGCCGCTGTCACTCACCCTCATTCATTCTCTAGTTATGATTACCAGCCTGTAATTTCTCTGCCAGAAACCACAAGTCACTGATATAATGAATGTAAAGTTGATATATGTCATCTCACCCACTGCTTGCAAACAGTACAGGAAGTTTCACTGGGTGACAGCATTCCTATAGTCAAGACGAAGGGGAGTGAATGGACTCTACCATTTCACTGTCATCATTACATTAGCATTCGATAGATTGATTTTTAAAAAATGCTAATTTTTTCAAATACCTTCATTTTAGAAATATATGATTTAACTGTATTTATTGTTTGTGGGTATTATGCTCAAATGCATTTTCTTTACATTCTGTTGCCATTTTAATAAGCAGTACTGCTAGTAATGCTATCAGGAACCTTACAATTACCTATAAGCAAGCTTTTTGACCACTTTTATTTATATATTTTTGTCACACACATCCCCCCCGCCCCATCTGCATTTGAGAAATGTTAATTTGTTACTTTGATACTAACATTTCAGACTCTTTGTGCTGTCTAAAGCTTTTAATTTTCCAAATTTCCAAATATTTTTTTTTTACAAATGACGAATGAATAAGTGAAAAGTAATAATTGTGAAAATTAACATATTTGTAAGTTTGTCTGAAAATATTGAAAATCCAGCCCTAGTGAGATGTTGCAGTAAACAGTTTAGATTTATCCTTAGTCGCAGCACATGGGGCTGTCAGGAGCGAGGGGTGTAGGAGTGCACTTGCATGGAGCTGTGCTTCAGTTAGTACTAATCAATATCAGGTCTATGGTAGCACGCACTGTAATAATGAAAGCACATCTCCCCACACTAGACACCAAGGATGAAGCCCCACCTTAGCGTGCAAATTGTAGGGGGCTTTATAATAATACATAATAGAAGCACAGAAGGAGAGGGCTATGGAGAAATGAAGGCAGTGCAGTGGGTACAAAGTGACCTATGATCGGGGAAATTAAATGAGTTGGAGAAAGGAAGTGACATGCAGAAGAAGAGGATGTGTTTTGGGTCATGTTGTGCGTTTTGTCATAAAATAGAATTGTTCGTGGATACGTTATGACAGTTAACATGATGTGTAGTGATTCATAATATGTGTGTCTGTACATGTTGTGTGTGCAGCTTTGTTTGCATGGAATGTGTGCAATTTATATTGGATGTGTGGCAATGTTAATTATTTGTGTATGTATATGTAGTAGATGTCTGTGCAAATTAATTATTAGTGTATGTATGTGAAACAGATGTGTGTGTCCATGTACTTCTACAGATTTGTGACCAGAATATCTGATATGGGAGATATGTGTCCATTATGTTTACCTGTATAAGAACTACTAGTTACAAGACAAGCTCAGATGGTGAGGGGTAAATTAGTAATGATATTTAGTTGCATTATACCTGTACTCCATACAGGAACTCCCCACATTCATTGTCTCCGTCAGAGTCTTCCTCAGCCCAGTTGTGCCCCTTAACGTCCTACAATTAAACAGAAAGTCATTCAACAGAGGTAGGTTCCTAACTTTTCACAAGTGGTAATTATAAAGAACATTGTTACTTAGACACAGTCTGCAAAGTACCACTTCTCCGAAATTGTTCCCCTGATAAGGCAGCACTGTTGGTGACCATCCAAAGTTTCTATGTAACCTCAGACAACAAGGAAGAGCTATGATATTGATGATGGTATTGTAGAAAACGCAGTTGATATTCTATGGACACTGACAATTTCACAACATCCTAAATTGGGAATAGACAACTTTTGGCACCTCACATGTTGTTGATTACATCTCTCATAATGCTCTTATAGCCATAATGCTGGTAAAGCATAAGGGGAGATGTAGTTGACAAAATCTAGAGTGCCAAATCAGTTGCATACTAAGGGGGGGGGGGAGGAGGGGCGCTCTGCCACAGGTGAAACTCGTTACGGGGATGTCATTCAGGGGCAGACTGAGTGGCACATCGCTCCACTCCTGCCAGTCACATTATGTAGCATGGCCGATCAGACAGACTGAGGTTGAGGAACTTCTGTATCCTCTAACCAGCCTTACAGGAAGTGCTCACTGAGAGCAACTTACAGCTTCCTGTCAGATCGGGTACAGGAAACAGAGGCTCTTCCACTGCGGACCGCCCACTCAGCACACTACATGGAGAGGGGTGAGGCTGAGCAGTCACATGAAGGGGGAGGGAGGGTGGACAAAAGAAGGGCACAGGAGGGAAGGGAGGCAAACGAAGGCACAGGAGGGGAGGTAGGCCAAGTAAGGGCACAGCACAGGAGGGGGGGCAAAAGAATGGCACAGGAAGAAAGGGAGGGCAAAATAAGGGCACAAGAGGAGAAGGGGCAAAAGACGGTCACATGAAGGGATGGGGACCAAGAAGAAAACAGGAGGAGGGGGCATAAATAGACACTATGTTACGTTACAATATTGTGAATGGGGGCCAGTGTGTAAAACAGCCCCCTCTCCAGAATCCGTTAGACCCCATTATAGTCTCTAATGGGGCCTTGAGGGGACTCTTTCTAACATACAGTCTACACATGTGTGCAATTAATATTCTTGAAAACATTTTTAAAAATTGCTGGTGTTTTATACATTTTAAAGTTGGGGTGGTGCCAAATACAGGATCCGTGCCGGATGCCAAATGCTCTAGGTACTCCCCTGTGTTGAAGGTTACCTAGCCCTGCCCTAAGTAATGCATGGCATCTGTTTTCAGTCTAATGCCAAATGAATCTTGCCTGAGTTTCATACTTCACAATTGACCCAGGTTCAAGAGGAATGTTCTGAATTTGGGATTCTGTCCTGCTGTTTGGGGTTAGTTCCCTGCTGTCCAAGTGACAATAGGCCAGTCCATTATCACCACCCATTCTTGGTCACCCAGCTGCCACTCATAGAAACATAGAATGTGACGGCAGGTAAGAACCATTCAGCACATCTAGTCTGCCCAATTTTCTAAATACTTTCATCAGTCCCTCTCCATATCTTATAGTTAGGATAGCCTTATGCCTATCCCATGCATGCTTAAACTCCTTTACTGTGTTCAGCTGGAAGGGTATTCCATGCATCCACTACGGTCTCAGTAAATACTTCCTGATATTATTTTTAAACCTTTGCCCCTCTAATTTAAGACTATGTCCTCATGTTGTGATAGTTTTTCTTATTTTAAATATGGTCTCCTCCTTTACTGTGTTGATTCTCTTTAAGTATTTAAATGTTTCTATCATATCCCCCCTGTCTCGTCTTTCCTCCAAGCTAATCATATTAAGATCCTTTAACCTTTCCTGGTAAGTTTTATCCTGCAATCCATGAACCAGTTTAGTAGCCCTTCTCTGAACTCTTTCCAAAGTATCAATATCCTTCTGGAGATACAGTCTTCAGTACTGCGTACAATACTCTAAGTGAGGTCTCACCACTCCTGTATCCATACATCCCATTATATGGAGTGGTTTGGAGACTGTGAATTCTTAAATTTAACCGCAGCAATGCCTATTCAGAATCTACAGGTTTTTCCACTTAAAGGGACACTCCAACCCCTACACAATCTCAGCTCGGTGAACTACTTTAAGGGTTGATTGGCTATCCTCCTTTTATTTTTTGATTTCTAAAAAAATCTGCACTGTTAGAAGATTTCTTAGTTACACCTTCCTCAATCAGTTCCTCAAGTTACACCGTCCTTAATGAATTAGTTACACCATCCTCATTCGGTGCTTTTCACCAAGAAACATTGGTGTGAATGCTTCTCTCTGAGAAGCATGCTATTGGTGGAAAAGGGGGTGAAAGGTATAGAGGGAGGTATTATGTAAAGCAATGAAAGGTGTCCCCACTTTTCTGATAGTGGCACTTTTTTGATCTTATGACACTTAAATTTAACTCTGAAACCTGCAAAGTGACTCACCATTTCAGTTGAGGTATTTGAACCTCTGTCAACTGTCTCAGGGGTGGGGATCCGATGCCCCCAATATCTCCAAATCTGTCATAGCCACATGAACCAGCATGCTGGGTCTGTTCAAACATTAACTTACTGCCACCTTCAAAAAAAGAAAACAGGGAGTAACATGAAAGATATTCACTCATGATAAGTATTATAAATTAATAAGTAAGGTATTAAGTATAAAATAATCAGTGAATGAAGAGGTAAGTTCAGTGTGTTGTTAAAATAAGTGGCTGAAAGATGATAGTTCTTGGACCATTGTCTCTCTTATTGCCAGAGTTATTCATAAAAGTGTACAATGTCATGAACTGAAAGTGAATTCAAAATTATTTACAATTCTATGTCAAAATAACTGAAAACATGATGGAGTAAGAGAATGTTTCCAATTCTGCTCTAGAATTTAAAATTCCCTTTGAATTCTTGACCATTTACACCTTTTGAATATCCCTGTGAGTATAGAAAAGGGTGGGAGAAATCTGAAGATAATACGGAGAGAGACTGTCTATCAATTTACTGATTGTATTATTCGTACATTTTAACATAATTAAATACAGTGAGGAAAAAAAAGTATTTGATCCCCTGCTGATTTTGAACGTTTGCCCACTGACAAAGAAATAATCAGTCTATAATTTTTATGGTAGATGTATTTTAACAGCGAGAGACAGAATAACAAAAAAAATATCCAGAAAAACGCATGTCAAAAAAGTTATAAATTGATTTGCATGTCAATGAGTGAAATAAGTATTTATAAAAGCTCCCAGGTAACGTTTATATAGGTAATGAGCGGAAATTAGGAGCACTCTCTTAAAGGGAGTGCTCCTAATCTCAGCTCATTACCTGTATAAAAAAAGACACCTGTCCACAGAAGCAATCACTCAATCAGATTCCAAACTCTCCACCATGGCCAAGACCAAAGAGCTGTCCAAGGATGTCAGGGACAAAATTGTAAACCTACACAAGGCTGGAATGGGCTACAAGACCATCGCCAAGCAGCTTGGTGAGAACGGGACAACAGTTGGTGCGATTATTCGCAAATGGAAGAAACACAAAATAAATGTCAGTCTCCCTCGGTCTGGTGCTCCATGAAAGATATCTCCTAGTGGAGTTTAAATGATAATGAGAATGGTGAGGAATCAGCCCAGAACTACACGGGAGGGTCTTGTTAATGATCTCAAGGCAACTGGGACCATAGTCACCAAGAAAAAAATTGGTAACACACTACGTCATGAAGGACTGAAATCCTGCAGCGCCTGCAAGGTCCATCTGCTCAAGAAAGCACATGTACAGGTCCATCTGAAGTTTGCCAATGAACATCTAAATGATTCAAGGGAGAACTGGGTGAAAGTGTTGTGGTCAGATGAGACCAAAATCAAGCTCTTTGGCATCAACTCAACTTGCCGTGTTTGGAGGAGAAAGAATGCTACCTATGACCCCAAAAACACCATCCCCACCATCAAACATGGAGGTGGAAACATTATGCTTTGGGGGGGGGGGTTCTGCTAAGAGGACAGGACAACTGTACCGCATCAAAGCGACGATTGACGGTGCCATGTACCGTCAAATCTTGGGTGACAACCTCCTTCCCTCGGCCACGGCATTGAAAATGGGTCGAGGATGGGTATTCCTGCATACCAATGACCCAAAATACACAGCCAAGGCAACAAAGGAGTGGCTTCAAGAAGAAGAACATCCTGGAGATGCCTAGTCAGTCTGGTGGCCAACTAAAAGAAACATCTGACCTCCGTGCTTGCCAACAAGGGTTTTGCCACCAAGTACTAAGTCGAAGGGGTCAAATACTTATTTAACTCATTGACATGCAAATCAATTTGTAACTTTTTTGAAATGCATTTTCTGGATTTTTTTTTATTTTGTCTCTCACTGTTAAAATACACCTACTATTAAAATTATAGACTGATCATTTTTTTGTCAGTGGGCACACGTTCAAAGTCAGCAGGGGATCAAATACTTTTTCCCCTCACTGTATAAGGGTTGTGCCAAACAATTTTTCTTTAAAAATGTGTTTTGCTAATTTATATAATCTGAATCAGTCACCATTCTATGTATGCACTTGATATACTCATTTTGGACACATAATTATGCCCCTTCTAGCACAGGAGTTTATTTTTGTAGACCAGATTTTCAGCCCTATTCATTTAATTCCGACACATATTTTTTGTGATAATAATTACCCAGTCGAATTTTAAACTATTAGACCAATAAGGATGGTAGTTTTATTCACTATACTGCAAATTGTTGAGAGTTCAAAAGGAATTCAGATTATAGGGCAAAATGCCCAAATCCTAAATGATATGGGGATTATTTTCTAGTGTGCTTCTTTGAAAGTCACTTTGAGTTTTTAACAGTTCATACTTTAGTAAATAACTGTAAAAAGTAATCTCCCTACTTCTGGCACTGAAACGGTTATCACTCTAAGACTACAGCTATTTCAGCATTCTGTTAATTATTCTTTATTTTTTTTCTGCGTTTTACCCCTTAAATTAAGTAAACAACCCTCTAAAATAAGCATTTAATCTTCTAAGTAGAAATACAATACAGCATAGCTTTAAACAAGACTTGCAAGCATAATGGTTTGAACTATTTTCTATGGACAAGATAAAAAGCAAAAACAGTCCATTCAATGCTTGCTTTCTTTGCCTGTATGCGAATTTGAATATGTTAATATATATATGCATTAGATGGATGTAGGTACATATCCCAGCTATGTGCTATCCATCATTTATTATTGCGCTTTACACTGAGACAATAAATCAAATACAGAGAAGGCCCGAGAGATAAGCACGGCTAATAACTGATTTGATTCACCGTAATATTCACTATTTACCAAAGCACTACATGCATACAAGTATCATGACACAATCAAACACGATATACATTACACAAAATAGCTCTCATTGTCTAATAAAGCATTAAGTATAGGTAAGGTATCGTGGGTTAATGTTTTAGCCCCTTATTGTTAAAGGCCCTTTGCTTCCAGGGGGTAAAACCATATATATATATATATATACCATGTGCCTATTCTTGATTCTCTTACGCACAAAACTGTATATTTCATACTATTATCTACACAGATTTTACAGATTGTCATGCACATATAGACATATACATAGCCTTGCTCAGTGCAATTATTTTGTATACTCACATCCTGAAGCTGTGTGTACAAAGCAGCCTGTTACAATGAGTCAGGACAGAATGCCACTGAGTGTGTGTCAATATATTATTTTACCTGTTTGCTTCTGTACGGTAACAAATGTGTACCCTGTGCATACAGCTCGGTGCATATATATATACATATATATGGGTCTATATATGTGCCTTAATGTGAGGTCTAAAACGATATGTATCAGACAACATGTAGGGATGAAGCACAATAAAATGTTTATGCATGTATTCTAGAAAATGTACAAATGATGTTGGATGCACAGACACAGACACAGAATGGGTTTTCAGAGAAAAGGAGCATCACCTACACAAACAGGGATGGGTGATTGGAAACAGCAGATATGAATCGATGACATAATATATATGGGTGTATGGGAAAAAATGAGAGAAGGGGGGCAGGGTCTTGAGATGCCTCTGTCACAGTGTGTGGGAGAGAGGGACAGAGCTGGGAAAGGGCAAGAAAGAGCTGTGGAATGAAAATGGCTCTCTGATAAATGAAGTCTGGCTGATCTGCTGGTCTGTGTTGCTCAGGTAGCGTCTTTCTTTTAATGGCTCTAGATCTCGCTCTCATCTGACGGTTCTCTCTGGATATGTGGGTCAGGTGGCATCTGTCACAGGATGTCTCAAGCTGTCTCTTGAAGCTGGCCAGCTCCCTTTGTAGAATAAATAAACAAACAAATAAATAAATAAATATATATATATTTATATATATATATATATATATATATTTAAAAAACTGTGTCTAGTTGTCCCTCTCAGCTGATGACTGTCTATAAAAAAAAAAAAAAAATTAAAAGAGAGAGAGAGAGGCTGCTGTCTCTTGCTATCTCTCAGCTGACGGATGTCTCTGGCTGTCAGGGGCACAGCTGCTCCTGCCTTTGTTATTCCTGTGCTGATAGAAGCTGTGTTCTGTGTGCGCAGAATCAGAGCATCCTCTAACGTCATGTGACCACCTCTGTACAGCAGCACTGGTACCCAACACATAAACATACATCCTGGCCTCCCTACAAATACTAAGCTTCTAGAATTACATTTTACACTTACAGTTTACAACATATATAGGCAAACACAACACATCTTAGTAAATGCCTGTAATTAATAAGTAAACTAAATAAAATAACATATTTATAATAATCATTAACTTTTTTAGCTTTTGAATTCATGATAAAAAAAAAAAACTACTTTCCCACAATAGATACATCAAAAGAATCCTATACAAGAAAGATAATGTATATACGTTTAAAATACGTATAAATATTTGAATGCAATTCGGATTATACTATCACTGTATCATCACGTCACAGCATGCTTGTTACTGTAACTATCATCATTGTATAACTCGCTTATTCATATAATACCAAAACTGCAAAACCAGTCACTTTGTGATATAGATTGATACCGAAGTGAAGACATTGTGAAGTCGTGCATTAAAGCTGTTCCGAAGTGGCAGCATGCCTGATTAAATAATCGTTTTAAGGCAAGCACGGGCCCGTTTTGCTGAACAAAAAGAATGTATTGAGACAGGTCCAAATCAAAGAATTTTCAGATCAAATACAGGCCCGCACCACTGGCTGTACTGTCTGACAGGAACATACAAGCACTTTCTGCATGCTTAACCCTTATTCTCTCGTTCTATTTCTAAAATTATTTATTTAGAAACAGGGATACATATAAGGAGGCAAAAATCTATTGTAAAGTACAATTTTGCAACAGCAGCACGTTTGTCAGCCTATTTTAATGACTAACCCTGTCAGTATTTACCCTCTATTTCCCTCTTTAAATCTTTTCTGCCTGTTCTTTTTTTTTTGCCTTCCTAGGACCACGTAGTACCGCTTGATTTGACTGTAAACATTACTTTATTATTGCCCTCTTCGTCTTGTCACTTGTTATTGACTTATATTAAAAAACAAACACTTTAATTTCACAAAAAAGTTTAAAACAAGGCTATAAGGGGCAATAAAACCTTTTATAAAAAAATAAAACCCTGTGCCCCCACTCGTTATGCAGCAGCAGGGGGCTAATAAATTAATAATAACCAGGGGGACCTAATGTACCCCCAGTAATCTGTCGGCAGTGGGTAGGAGCTACTAATAAAATATAGAATAAGGCACCAAGCCACCCCTCAACTAAAAAAAGTAATGCCTCTCCCCTCATCATAATAATAGTGAAGGGAAGTGGCCAATTAATCTAATACCTTTTAAAATGATATATGTACCATCATTGTTACATGGCTACATAATGGCAGTCATATTTCTCTTTGGATCAACACCCTATACACATACATATTAATTATTTCCTTGAATATTCTTTTTTTTTTGTAGGGAATACTACATAAATATTGTTTTTATTGTAAAGAAGCCTCTCCTCTGCTGTAAGTGAAAACTCATTTCTTCTAGTCTACATGGGTGACCTCTTGTTTGCTGTATATTTCTGCTAATGAACAAGTTTTTCTAGCCTTCCTTCATAACAGATGTTTTAAATCCCCCTTATTAATTTTGCAGCTCGCCTCTGCACTTTTTCAAGTTCTGCAACATCATTCTTTGAAACCGGTGCCCAAAACTGTAACGCATATTAAAGGTAGGGTCTTACCATTGCTTTATAAAGAGGCAAAATTATATTTTGATCACGTGAATCAATAACCCTTTTTATACATGAAAGCACTTTACAAGCTATCACAATGAAACACATCTCCTAGAGATTTATTTACAGTGCTTTGCAAAAGTATTCACCCCCTATGGCATTTTTCGTGTTTTGTTGCATCACAACCTGGAATTAACATAGAAACATAGAATGTGACGGCAGATAAGAACCATTCGGCCCATCTAGTCTGCCCAATTTTCTAAATACTTTCATTAGTCCCTGGCCTTATCTTATAGTTAGGATAGCCTTATGCCTATCCCACGCATGCTTAAACTCCTTTACTGTGTTAACCTCTACCACTTCAGCTGGAAGGCTATTCCATGCATCCACTACCCTCTCAGTAAAGTAATACTTCCTGATATTATTTTTAAACCTTTGTCCCTCTAATTTAAGACTATGTCCTCTTGTTGTGGTAGTTTTTCTTCTTTTAAATATAGTCTCCTCCTTTACTGTGTTGATTCCCTTTATATATTTAAATGTTTCTATCATATCCCCCCTGTCTCGTCTTTCCTCCAAGCTATACATGTTAAGATCCTTTAACCTTTCCTGGTAAGTTTTATCCCGCAATCCATGAACCAGTTTAGTAGCCCTTCTCTGAACCCTCTCTAAGGTATCAATATCCTTCTGAAGATACGGTCTCCAGTACTGTGTACAATACTCCAAGTGAGGTCTCACCAGTGTTCTGTACAATGGCATGAGCACTTCCCTCTTTCTACTGCTAATACCTCTCCCTATACAACCAAGCATTCTGCTAGCATTTCCTGCTGCTCTATTACATTGTCTGCCTACCTTTAAGTCATCAGAAATAAAAAATTATGAACACATTCTCTGGTTACCCATATAGGTAATTCCTATCTTATCTACTTCTGTGGGGATTGAACCTGTGACCCATAAGATATTATGGGTTAGTGTATTAGCCCATTGAGCTAACCTAATACATAAACATGGATTGTTTTAGGATCTACATCATTTAATTTACAGAACATGCCCACAACTTTAAAGATGTTTTTTTTTTTTTTTTTATATTATTGTGAAGCAAACAAACAAATAGGACAAAATAACAGAAAAGGTCAATGTGCATAACTATTCACCCCCCTAAAGTCAATACTTTGTAAAGCCACCTTTTGCGGCAATCACAGCTCCAAGTCGCTTTGGATAAGTCTCTATCAGCTTGCCACATCTTACCACTGGGATTTTTGCCCATTCCTCCTTGCAAAACTGCTACAGCTCCTTCAAGTTGGATGGTTTGCGCTTGTGAACAGCAATCTTTAAGTCTGACCACAAATTTTCTATTGGATTGAGGTCTGGGCTTTGACTAAGCCATTGCAACACATTTACATGTTTCCCCTTAATCCACTCAAGTGTTGCTTTAGCAGTGTGTTTGGGGTCATTGTCCTGCTTGAAGGTAAACCTCCGTCCTAGCCTCAAATCATGCACAGAGTGGTACAGGTTTTGCTCAAGAATATCCCTGAATTTAGCACCATCAATCTTTCCCTCAGCTCTGACCAGTTTCCCAGTCCCGGCTGCTGAAAAACATCCCCACAGCATGATGCTGCCACCACCATGTTTCACTGTGGGGATGGTGTTCTTTGGGTGATGTGATGTGTTGGGTTTGTGCCAGACATAGCGTTTTCTTTGATGGCCGAAAAGTAAAATTTTAGTCTCATTAGACCAGAGCACCTTCCTCCATACATTTTGGGAGTCTCCCACGTACCTTTTCGCAAACTCAAAACGTGCTATTTTGTTTTTTGCTGAAAGTAATGGCTTTCTATTGGCCACTCTGCCATAAAGGCCAACTCTATGGAGCGTACGGCTTATTGTCGTCCTATGTACAGATACTCTTGTCTCTGTTGTAGAACTCTGCAGCTCCTCCAGGGTTACCTTAGGTCTTTGTGCTGCCTCTCTGATTAATGCCCTCCTTGTCCGGTCTGTGAGTTTTGCTGGGCGGCCGTCTCTTGGCAAGTTTGCTGTTGTGCCATGTTCTTTCCATTTGGTTATGATAGATTTGATCCTGGGGATCATCAAAGATTTGGATTTTTTTTTATAACCTAACCCTGACTTGTACTTCTCAACAACATTGTCCCTTACTTGTTTGGAGACTTCCTTGGTCTTCATGGCAGTGTTTGGTTAGTGGTGCCTCTTGCTTAGGTGTTGCAGCCTCTGGGGCCTTTCGAAAAAGGTGTGTATATGTAATGACAGATCATGTGACACTTAGATTGCACACAGGTGGACATCATTTCACCAATTATGTGACTTCTGAAGGTAATTGGCTGCACCAGAGCTTTTTATGGGCTTCATAACAAAGGGGGTGAATACATCCGCACATGCCAATTTTCTGTCTTCTATTTCTAAAAAATAGTTTTATGTATATATTTTTCTCATTTCACTTCACCAACTTAGACTATTGTGTTCTGATCCATCACATAAAATAATTAATAAAACATCGAACTTAAGGCTGTAATGTAACAAAATAGGTAAAAAGTCAAGGGGATGAATACTTTTGCAAGGCACTGTAGCCACATGTTATATTTTGGTAGATCAGAACCCTGAGAGTAGATTCTAGGTCTTTTACTGGTGGGTTTGGGTGGTGGGGGGGTAACCACAACTACCTGTGTCAACTGTGCTGCATAAAAGTACATAATTAAACTGAGAAGACCTAGTCCTTCCTTTAATTTAGGCTTATATAGCAATTTCCAGGTGAAAATGATGCCGTGAGCCGACTGACAAAACCGGAAATGATGTGCTGTGAGTCACGTTGCATTACTTCCGGTGGACCTAGTCGAGCACCTACATCATCAAACACCGCCACGAAAAAAATGTATTTCCAGTGGAACAGGAAGAAACCATTAAACTACTGATAATAAGGACGTTCTGACCATACTACTCTGGGATTGGCCGATGCACATCACGTGACCGCAGCAATTGACCGGGTGCGATCATTTAAATGGATTACTGGACAGGGCAGCTACTACAGCCAACTGAAGAAGCTTTTGACAGGGAAAGACGTTTTGGCTCACCAAGATTGGACTACAAAGACTG